GAATAGGTTCTGCCAGGTTGTCACTCCTATGGGGCTTTCTCTCCTTGTTCAGGGATTCAGGTTGTTGAAATAAAAAACATCTGAGGACTGGTCTCCACAGAGGCAATAGTTGCTTCTGCTAACTTACTAAGGTGGACATCTCTTGGGCAGGTTTTATAGTTACAGTGAGAGCATTCAGTCTCATCAGTCATGGTGTGACCCTGCTTGTTGTCTTTCAGCATCCCATACAACAGTGGACACATCAGAGTCCACCTGGTCCCATTGATGAACAACATATCAGTTCAAAATAGCACATGTTAATTATAGTGTTGAAAATCCCAAATCTGCAAAGTATGTACAGTCAAGCTCCTCAGAGAGGCTTGGAGGGTAGGCTTTGGAGCGCAGGTCACACCTCCTGCCAGGCCACCTGACGTGTCTGTCTGGTCTGCTGGGGCCTGTGAGGACTGCGTGTTGACGGCGCTAGCTTGGGGCGGAAGGGCTAGAAAGCTGGCTGGCACCTGGAAGCTCTGGCTTCTTAGTACGTGCTTCTGTCCCACCCTTTGGTGACACCGTGCATGTCTCCAAATGTCGTCAGTTCTCTCCTCCCAGTTGCGTGTGAGCCCTGGGTGCTGCTTACCCATCCCTCCCTCTGTTCCCACACAGCATCAGCCCTGTGATGCAGCACTGAAGTAATGCAAAATAAACCAATTTAAATCAGGAGCTATGAATTTCTCCCCTGAGGAGCCTTTTGCCAATGAAGGGATTCACAGCTGACCCAAGAAGAGTTGTGGCAAGTAGCCCTGGCTCTTTTCTGCAGGGTGGCTGAAAACAGTCAGTGGAGCACGTGGAAGTATAGCCAGGAATAAACTTGCTTAAAAACCATCAAGGTCAGGTATGCTCAGAAGACCTCATAGCACCGTGTGACAGGCTCTAGAGCCATCAGAGCCTTCCCATGCTGCAGAGCGGCGTATGTGGATTCAGGATACACGTGCTCTCCATCTAGGACTTGGCAGGGTTATCTATACATAGAGTTCCACATAGGTGAGAAACGGTGTCTACAATTAGAACAATTCACTACTGTTAATGGGCCGTCAGTTTTCTTGATTATCTCCTATTTAAATATGGATCTGTCATGAATTTATGAGCCCTTACCTTTCTTAGCTCCTAAAATCTGGTCCGATCGCATCCTATGGTGATATGGTGGCAATTTTCAGCCATCCTTTCCCTGCCAGCTCTGCTGGAAAACAAGCAGCTGGTTGTGCCAAGCAGTGCAGCCTCCCGCGACCGACCACGGGCTATGATCAGAGGAGACTATTCCATTGTAACACCCTGCTGTGTCCTGTGCGTCGCTGCAGAGGTAAAATTACATAATAGTAGCAAGCTGCAGTGACTCACCACGCTGCTCGTGTGATTTACAGCAGCTCCCCAAACGACGTTTTTGCTCAGCATGCCACATAACCCATAATTGCAAACATGTGAATAGACAAAAAGTACATTTTTCCAATTCCATGTTGTTTAGGATCAAGCAATCTGTGATGACTAAAACAGATGAAAATCTCTTTGTATGGATGTATTGTCACCTTCGATCTAATTCTTTTTATCTTGCTCTCTCCCTCTCGATGATGTATTTTCTACAAATTCTTTGTTTTATTGTCTTTTTTTTTCATGCTATCCAAGGATATTTAAATTTTGCCCTATTCCAATGTCTTTTGCCAAGATTAATACTCCAGCTGCCTGGAAACTCTGAATTCCTTTGTCTTGAATTCATTCTTGTCATCTTTGAACGACTATACATCTCTCCTATCTCTGTGTCTGATCTTTCAGAATCATTTCCTACATATTTTAGCCAAACTTTACTCATGGATTCTTCTCTTCTTTCCACCTGTTTGCTGCTTTTCTATCAGCTTGTGTCCTTGGCTGTGGCAGGGGGGTGGGACTAGATGATCTCGAAGATCCCTTCAGACCTGAACTATTCTGTGATTTAGCCAGCACCCCCCTTCCTCTTTGAAATCCTTTTTTCCCCCCCTTTTTTTCTGTAGGTAACCCCATTTCTTGCATAGATCCTTCATTTATTTATTGCAAATCAAGAGGTCATCATTTCTATCTTCTTCTTTTACAGGCAGGATCAGCCTAGGTCACTCCTGAAAAGTACTTGTTCAATGCTTTTTCATATTTTTCCACTCAAGTGGAATTTCACAGCTCCCCATCCATTCAGGTTCAGTGCTGTGATAGGAAAAGCTTTTCATCTATACAGGGAATGTAGATTAAGGCAATTTAAGCCCATTGTCCTGTCATAAAACTGGAGAATGGGTTATTCCTTCCCCCCTTATGTGCATGAAGGTTGTTATCTTTTCTTCTTTCAGTCTTTTTCTAGCCCAAATCCCCATATTTCCTTCAGTTTTTCCCCATTAGTCATGGTTCCTAAAACTGACAGTGCTGTTGCTCCACTGTAGGCAGCCCAGTCCATGTGCTTTTGCCGGGCAATTGTGGCTGCTGCCAGGTCTTTGCTATTAGGAGGATGCTTCTTCATTATGATTTTCAGCTGTGACAGTATTCAGCTGTTCTGAAATGCAGCTTCTGATGTATCAAAGATTCTTTGATTTGAAGATGGTGCGTTATGAAGAGGGCTTGTGTGTGGCTAGTTGTGGTAGAGAAAGTGCCTTCTTTGGTGTAGGGTGGGAGGCTTTTGCCTTTGAACTTGCTTAGATTTGACCTTCTTGAAAAACCTTTGTAGTTTTAAAATGCTCCACTTATCTGTGAGCATTCAGTGATTTCCCTTAGGAAGTTTGTCAGAAAAATGGGAGGAATTAATCAGTCTGATTTAAACTCAAAAACCCTTCATTCAGAATGATCTTTTCTAGGTGAAGGAATTCAAACAAAGTTGTACCTGAAAGGTAACTCCGAAAGCAAGCACAGTGTGAAATCTGTGCTAAATTTATGGAAATTGTATTGCCTTTTCTTCAGTAATATAAAAATAGTACTTAACGCTTTCAAAAAGTCTCTTGACATCTGAAACTCTTCTGCTAATGTTTTCCTGCCCTGGTGAAGTGTTTCTCCATGCAATTCAACTTCAAGAAGCCCTTGAGGATTCACTGAAATAAGTCAGGGATGTTTTCAGACAAGTGTGTTCCCTTCTACTTTTGTGTTTCACGGTTCTTTTGTTATGTCAAAGTCTGCTAATCACTGAGACGTAAAGGTTGTGGTTACTTGGAAATTGTTATACCAAACTGGTGCTGCTTTTGCTGTATCTGTGAGCATCTGCTATGTACCCATGTATGTATGGAGAGCTGGGGTATCCAAAGGGGTTGTAAATGCCATGGGGCCATACATCAGTCCTGGTTGCTGTGGGTCCAGCAGGTGCCAGTAACTCCCTTGCTTAGGGAACTTGCTTCAAAGCACAGCAAATAAAGCCATCTATTTTTACAGAGGTTATTAAAAATATTAGTTATGCTGTTTCTTGTCAAATAAATACATGAAGAATCCAAAGAGAATTTGCAGCAGTGCTTGAGACCTCTTCAACTTGCCAAATCACATAAATGGAGGGGAGCAGTACAAAGCAGCATGTGTTTTCTGGGTGCGCATCCCCAACTTTGCTAGAAGGAGATAATTCTACTAGTTAAACTTTAAGCAAAAGTAAACACACAAAATGATTTTTTTTCCCTTCAGAGAGCATGGTAGCTATAACATTGTCTGCAGCAGAATTTTATCTAAAACCTTTATGTAAATTATGTTCTTTCATGTCTTGCAAGCTGTTACAGTTTTATTCATGCCAAAAGAAGAGTAAAGGTAATAATATATATATATATGCATGTTCTGTGTGTGTGATCACAAAGCAGGCACACATCTAGAATGACCTCATAGGCTGATTTTTGTGATGTTGCTTTTCAGAGGGAAGCTGTGGGGCTATGACAGTGTTGTTTAATATGTCACTCCTGGTATTTGGGCTGACCCTCTATAGCCAGCGGATTTGTGCCTCTGTAGGAGCCCAGCAGCAGCTCCTGGGTATAAGCCTGCCCTGAGCTTCAGGGAGGCAGGGCTGCAGTGTTTGAGCTCTGGATTCTGGGAGAACATCCTCTGGTTGAAATTCTCTCAAGGGATTTAATAAAAGTGTACCAGTGGTTTTCTAGCACTCAGGTATTTCAGTGTGCTTCATTGTCTCTATAAATTATTTATTTTATTTAAATTTATGATCACTTTTATGCTTTCAAATTAAAGTGCCAGAAACATGCCAGGCTATTGCTCTGGTTGCTTTAATGCTCTTCCCTCCCCCCTGCCTTTTTTTTTCCCTTTTTAATTTTTCTCTTTTTTTTTCTTTTTTTCTTGGCAAAGGATATTTAGGATGTGCAATGTGCTTGTGTAGCTGTCCTCATCCAAAAAAGCACTCATGACAAGGCAGTGCGTGTTGAGAACTCTGAGCTTCTCTTCTGAGTCAGTGGTGGCTGGGTGGGCGTGCAGGCCATATGCTCTATCAGAGTCATTTTGAAATGAAATACTTCTCATAAAGAGCCTGTGGTATGTGATCTTGTCTGGTTTCAGGCAGGGGACACTGGAATCAGCTTGCAGCAATCTTTCCTTCTGTTGCTTGGACCCTTGTTCTGTGAGCGCTGTGTCCCGGTACAGCTAGACCAGCTCCAGCTGGGCTGGCCGATGGCTGTGAGGGGCTGCTCTGAGTTTTCTCACATGCTCCTGTCCCTCTGGGATCCCTTTGCTTCTTTTCCAGAGCATGCTGAGCTGTCTTAACTGATGGATCACGTTCAGGCCACCAGGGCAGCCTTTCTCTGCTGGTCTTCAAGAAATATTTGTGCCTTGTGCAAAGGATATAATAAGGAATGCAGACTGAAAGGATTGTGTGTGTAGATAACCATTGCAAGACAGGCTGGCGTTCTAGAAAGCCCTCATGAAGGGCTTAGCAATTATCCAGGCCCTTGGCTTGTTTTTATGAGTTATATGCATACCTTCATATCTCTTTGAATGTTCAGTTGCATGCAATGTGACTGTGGCTGCTGCTTCCTGTTTTCCAGGAGACGACTTTTCATTGATACAGCAAGAAATATATATGGTTAAAGAATGCAAGCACTGCAACATAGTCGCGTATTTTGGGAGCTATCTCAGGTAAATCCCACTTTTTATACCTGCATTTCTGCTGGTTCTTTCCTTAAACAATGCAATGTCTGGTTTAGTGCTTACATCCTCTCTCAGTGTTCTTTTCAGAGTTGAATTTCCTTCAGTTTCCAGTTGGCTTAAAAAAAAATAAACTGACTAATACTTTGTTTTCTCTGCTGGCCAAAAGGGTGGAATATTTTTATCACTAGAAACAGAAAAAACCTTTTCCCCTAGAGACTCTTGCAACATATCCAGTCCCACTCACTTGTGGGGCAGATTTTAAACGTTTATCGGCTCTAATATGAAAGTAGCTCATCATTTATCTAGAGCAGATTTGAGTTTAGATATTTTATTTAATGGTAGTCTTGTGTGCTGTAGAAATGTAGCCAGTGAGTTGTAAGAGCAAAACACTGTATCTGAGCCACTGGTAATAACATGTTTCAAAGCTCTGGTGTAACAGATGCGAGGTACTGAGGAGCAGAAACAAGGCGATGCCAGCTGGCTGCATCTTGAAGTGCACACATTAAATGTTATACAGAAAGTTGGGGAATATTTTCCATTTCTGTTGAGCTCTGCCATTTATCAATTAGCTCTGTGGGAATATGTATCGCCACCTTGCCTGCTTGGTCTTCTTCGACAAGGCTTCATCTTTAGAATTCTTGGAGGGACTGCATTTTTTAAATGATCTGTGCAGCCCTAATGGACTTCAGCTCACACAAAATGGCTAAATTTCTAAATCCCCAGTACCTGTTTTGGAAACCATGAAGAGGGATTTTTAGTTATAGTAAGGTGATTTCAATTTAAGATTGAAACTGTGAGTTTAGCACGTTATCTAACGTAATACAGCTGCTAGCAGAGAAACCTCTGGTGTTTCTTCTGCATGTTCTTTATTGCAGTTAGGAGGTCAGAGTTAAAGCAGCACTTTTTAGGTTTAAAGAGTTCTCAGTGCCTTTGGCATAAAATTTCCATTTTGATAGGTGAGAATTTATATAGACATTATTAATAACATGTAAAATGTGTAACTGCATCAGAATGTGTTTTTTTAAACAAGAGTGATCAAGACCAATAGAAAAGAATGTAAATAATCATTATTAACTCTGTTCTATATACAGATGAATCAGCTTCTGATGCCTGTGTTTTAACTTTCTTTTGATAGCCGTGAGAAGCTGTGGATATGCATGGAATACTGCGGTGGGGGATCCCTCCAAGATATTTATCATGGTACTTTGAAACTTATTTTAACATTTCTTTGGAAGCTTTTTGCAAAAAAAAGAAAAATGAATAATAAGCAAACTGAAGGGGAACGTTTGATACTGGCCAGGCTCTGCACATGTTTTTTAGGGCACAAACAGTGTTTTTTAGCTACAGTCAACAGATTTTGTTGCGAGCATTTTTCATAGAAACATAGAATACCAGGTTGGAAGGAACCTCAGGGATCATCTGGTCCAACCTTTCTAGGCAACCTGCACTAGGTGGCTCAGCACCCTGTCCAGTTGAATCTTAACAGTGTCTAGTGTTGGGGGGTCCACCCCTTCCCGGGGGGGATTATTCCAATGGCTGATTTTTTTCATTGTGAATAATTTTCCTGTAGTGTCCAACTTTTCAAATATGATGACCACCATTTTTTACTAATACCCTGTCTTTCTAGGACAGGACATACTTTATTTTTTAATCCTCACATTGTTTTCTCCACAATGCTTAGGGGACTGACCCAAAGAGCTTGAGTTATTCCAGTGGGAAGGTCTTCACTAACTGTAGTTACTGCACACTGAGAGCTCGCTTGTATCTTTGCTTCTCTCAGCCCATGTTTCTGAATGCCATGTGCAGAAGCAGGTTATCCGCGTTCTGAAGGGGTGGAAAAAAGACCTCTAAATAAGTTAACAACCAGAAATTGTGCTAATTGGATATGGAGACTGTGCGTGCTGCAGGGAAGCAGTTTGCACTGGGAAATGTCAGAATTTGATCTTTAAAGGGTAAAAATTACTCTTATTCCTGTGTCTGTGCAATACCGTACCACCCTTTTCTTAATATTTTCCCCTCTGAGGTTTCATCTGGAGTTGTTGATTCTGTAGACAGTTTTACTGGATTTGTTGAAAAAGCAGTCTGGGGGCTTGCTCTGCCTTTAGATGGTAACATGAAGCTTTTTAACACAAGAACTCTTTCTATTTTATTTTTCAGCCTGTTAGTGCAAATAGCTTTAGAACAATTCAAAGTCACACAGGCCCCTAGTACAGAATATTGCCATTTCTAATCTTAAAACACTAGCAGAAATAATTTCTTTTGTTATTTACATTCCTCAGAATATAGGCTATTACATTACTGTGCAGTCACTTGTAAAATGGTAATTAGATTTCCATGATAAGTTTTCTTATTGCTGTGGGTATTGTCTTCTGTTTCTGTGCTGTTTTGTTTGGGGTTTGTTTGTTTGGGTTTGTTTGTTTGGGTTTTTTGGTGGTTTGGGGTTGGGTTTTCTTTTCAGAAAGCCTTTCTGTAGCACAAACAAAACCTCTTTTGAGCTCAATGTAAAAAACTTCATGCAAATTCAGTGTTTCGCTTTTGCATGGCAGTTCGCTCTTTGGCTGCTTCACATTGTTACTCATGCGTTGTATGGTGGAGACTCACACAGTTTTTTTAAACTCTCTTTTTCAGTCACAGGACCTCTGTCAGAGCTACAAATTGCGTATGTATGCAGAGAAACCTTACAGGTACTGTACTCCTGCAAGTATATTATAAAGTTGTTTGTTCCATGTATAAAATGTACATAAAGAACATGGTTTCAGAAGGTGCTGCAGTCCCATCACTTGCATTTGTAAGCATTTGGAATCTGTGAAACCAGTCACCCAGGGTTAATCTGTTAGTTTCCATATTGTAAATAAAAATTAGTAAGAAAATCCAGTAATGAAGTACAAACATTTGCTTAAAATCATTGTCGGAGAAGTGCTGCTTCTGCTCTGTAATTTGCAAAGGGATTTACAGAAGAGTAAATGTCTCTGTGGATCCTGCTGCAGGACCAGAATGCTGAGTCTCAGTCCTGCTGTGATTTCTTGAGTGAGCCTGTTGGTTTCAGGGAACAGTGGAAAGCAGATCTGCACAGGTTGTGATCACAGCATCATGTGGTCTGGTTTCATCCATTGTTTTAATGCAGTGGTTCAGTGCAGCAGTTGTTAGGACAAATTTTTGAATTTCATTGCAGAAAACAGCTAATGCCAAGTAAGCAAGGGTAAGTGGCTGAGTAATGGAGGGGGAAGAAAGAGGGATGGGGGAAGGCATATTTTAAACTGCCCGCTTGATCTGTGGCAATAAATTCTAATAATGTGTAGAGGAAAAACACTGCAACCAGATGACAACTCTCTGTCAATTGTAACTGCCAATGACTGTAGAACTACAAGGTAAGACAATGCAGGCAGATTGTTTCATAAAGGAACTTTTCTTTCCCTGCTCTGTATATCCCCAAATAATTATGTGAGAGAATCACAGGGATGCACACCTTTCCCTGCAGGGGTAGTTGAACTGGTCACTGCCAGAGGCAGGGGTGTAGATCCGTGAACTAATCTGCTTGGCAGTTCTGTTCCTGATCTCTTCTTAGTGCAGGAACTTGTACTGCTGGAAGGGCAGCTTAAAGTCTAAACACCTGCTTGTTGAAACCTTCAGGACTTCAAAAATATAGTTAACTTTAGTAAAGGGAAAAGGTGATGTAATTGCAGGATTGTTTTGAAAAGACACACATATATGTGTATATACATAAAATGCTATATCATGGCTGGTTTCAACAAGTCTTCACAAAAATTAGCTGGAGCTGAGAGAGATGAGAACAGAATCCAGCATACCTCTTAACACAGATTTCAGATTTTTCCACTTTAAAATAAAATACATTGAGTAATTTAAATTTATTGAATGGGACTGGCTCTGTAGTGTGTTAACGGATGGCGATCTGACATGCTGTGTCTCTTTTATTTCCAGGGTCTTGCTTATTTGCATGTGAAGGGCAAAATGCACAGAGATATAAAGGTAACCTGGAACTTTGAGAAACTTACCTAAAATTTTCTACTGTAGAAAAATGTTCCTGATAAAAACTGTTAATTTTCTGTTTATTCTGTTTTAGGGTGCAAATATTCTACTAACAGACCATGGAGATGTCAAGTTGGGTAAGTTGCCTGAATGTCATAAGACAGTACCATCTGGGATACTTTAATTTAGCAAGTTGCCTTTCATCATTCCATTAAGACAAAAAAAATGACCAGAATGTAGAGACTATGCCACCCAAGAAGAATACTGAGGATTTTTAGGCTTTGTTTTATGTTAAACAGCAAAATACACAGTAAAGATTAAGCTTGCTACAAATGATAAAACGTAATACAGCAGATCTCCCGTACTGTTGCAGTGAATTTTATTCGATACTGTTCTCAGTGTCGTGAACCTTCTGGTTCATGACAAGGATGTTCTTGCTCTTATTTATGGCAATAGTTGACAATAGGGAGTGTCCATGGGCTTGTGTACATATGACATGAGAAGTTTTGCATTTTATCAAGAAGTTACAGATGATTTATTTTTTCAACCATCAAGCCTTGAAGCCTCCCAAGTTTCCCTGGAATTTGCCAGGTTGGGGTTACCTGGTTATCCACATTTGTTCCTCGCTAGAATGACAGTTCTCCCTCAGAGCCTCCAAGGTTCCACTGTGTAGGACGACGTCTTCTGAGCCTGGCAACCTTTGGAAAAGTGTGGGGTCTGATCCTGGCTATGCCTTCTGCCCAGTGTATGGCATTGGGCGTTTGCACGCAGGTGAAGAGGAAACTCTTCGCCTTTGCAAGCACTCTGAAGTCTACGGATGAAAACTCAGAAAAGATCTGTATTACTGGCTTCCTCCAGTGATACTCTGCAGTTAGTTGAGTACAAACAGGCTGAATCTCATAGAATTATAGAATGGTTTGGGTTGGAAGATCATGCAGTTCCAGCCCTGCTGCCACAGGCAGGGACACCTTCCACTAGATGAGGTTGCTCAAAGCCCCTTCCAACCTGGCCTTGAACACTGCCAAGGATAGGGCAGCCACAACTTTAACCTGAGTGCACTGCCTTCAAAACCCATCTGCTTGTCTGATGGCTCACTTCACAGAAGCCTGCATGTAGTTAGGGCTCTGCAGGAAGTAGGGAGCAGACATTCTGGGGGAAGGAATGGGATACTCATCATCTCACTGTGTCTGGCATTGGAATCAGGACAGTTGTGCATTAGCTGCATCGCTGCTTTTCAGAAAAGCTGTGTGGTTCAAAACATTTACTCTGCTGTGGTGAGCCAGGAATGCAGTGCCAGGAAAGTATGGCTTTTGAAAGAAGGGGGCGGGGGGAACCACAGAAAACCCCAAGTAGTAAAAAAGTAAAACCTTGAAATGGATTAAGAAATCCCACTAACTTGGGTTGTGCACTGATACCTTCCTTATGCCTGCTAAGCTAGTTAGGTTTGCCCAGAATTATCTTCCAGCTATTGTACTACAAATGCAATCAAAGCAAAAAGGACTTAAATGTTTTTGGCTCTGCAAGACCACCTGATTATCTGCAGTTCTGAGAGCAAGGGATTATTGTCCCCTAGACATGTCTCCAGAAATAAGAACAGATGTCCCCCTGCTGTTCCATAAGTACACAGAAATAGTACCATTTCCAAAGCATGATGCTATTTTTCCTCTTCGATATTAAATTGAATTGTTCACTAAATTTTGTGAGGTTGATTGGTTTCTGTATTGTGAGATGGAAAAACATCTAGCAGCAGAACAGGATCACAAGTGAGCTGTATGTGGAAACCAAACTTTTCAATTTAAATCATGTCAGTGAAAAAAATAACTGATCTCATTGTTTAACTATTGAAGCTTAAAGAATTTTTGATTTGGATGAAAAACATGATTGTTCTTTCTTCCTAGAGTAGAATTGGGATCTTACAGTGAGATTTCTAAGTCTATAATCATTTTCTTTTCCAGCTGACTTTGGTGTAGCAGCAAAAATAACAGCCACCATTGCAAAGAGGAAATCATTTATTGGTACCCCTTACTGGTAATAAACTACTTTGATTGCTATGATTGTATGCAAAGCTGAGTCTGTACTTACACCAAGAATTCTAAAATATGCACAGTGAAGTTTACACACATTTTTAAATATATTTATAGCAATTGCATAAATTTCCTTTTTTCCAAGTAAAATGCCCAAAGGGTAAAAATCTGTGAAGCACTGATTAGAGCTGTTTGATGCTGTGCACAAGCTACGTGATATTTCAGGCAGAATGGCTGTTTCTCACACGTTTCTTAATGCAGAACAGTCTCCCCTTTGGATACCGAATGGTTATTCAGTTTCTCAGTAACTTCTTACACTTTTAGTGAATAAACTAAACAATGTATTTTTTTTTTATTTCTGTGCATAAGGATTGTGAAGAAAAACAGATTTTAAACTATCTTTTATAATCATCTCTAGTGATTAATGTCTGTACAAGACAGCGCTTAATATGCAAATACATCATTTTAAATCTTGAGCTGGATTATATATGCAAATTTAAGCTATTGGTTTCTGGCATCACTGTGATTCAGTTAAGATGCCTAGGACGGTATTTTTGGTATAGACTTGAACATGCATGTACAGCTTAATCCAGACAATGGCTTTTAATTGTTTGATGCCCTCCTTATCCTGTTGGCAAAGGAGGACTGAGGGCAGGAAGATTATCTGCTCATTAAAGCGTTTCACCAGGAATTATGAGACTGGTTCTATTCCTAGAGTTGCTGTCCAGCCAATGACCTGAAGCAAAACACATCACCTCCGTGTGCTTCTCCACTCCCCTAATGCTGAGTGAGGGGAGGGGATGTCAGGCTTTTCCCAGATTTATACTCTTTGTGGGGTATGTGACAGTGCTTTGTGCCTCCTGCATGCAGACTGTGCCCTTGGTGAATGATGCCTTTGCTTTTAAAGGATGGCCCCAGAAGTTGCAGCAGTGGAAAAGAATGGTGGATACAACCAGCTCTGCGATATCTGGGCAGTTGGCATAACGGCGATTGAACTTGCAGAGCTTCAGCCGCCCATGTTTGATCTTCACCCGATGAGGTCTGCTGGCTGAGGAGCTTGCTCATCTCCAGGATCCTCTTCAGTCCCAGCTGGGACTATTAAAATATAGTGTAACCATCTCTGTAGCTCAAACCTAGAAACTAATGCTAGGATTCCTTCATCAAGCATTTACTTCCTCTGTGGGCTGTGTCTGTCTTTCAGGCATTAATCTAAAGCTAAAGACTTACATTTAGAATTAAAATTATAACCAAAATTTTTAGGTGTAAAAAAAAACAACAAACAAACCAAACCCCAGCCCCCCCCAAAAAAAAACCCACAACCAAAAAAACCCCAAACAAACAAAAAAAACCACTTTGTAGTTATATCATCAATCTGATTAAGAGCTATCTAGTGATAGCAAATCACTAGAGAAGCTGTAGCCTTATGTTTAACAGGATTATGCATGGTGCTAAAAAGATTTTATTTAATGATAAATAATTCATTAGCTTTACTGTGTCTGTCTTCTATAATCCAGTTTCACCAGTACGGTTTTTACTCTAAAGTATTCATTTAAAGTGTTTGGCAATTGGAATGAAATTAATTTTTTACCATAACATTATTCCTCCTTTAGGGCTTTGTTTTTAATGTCGAAAAGTAATTTTCAACCACCAAAACTAAAGGAAAAAGCAAAATGGTAAGTTAAACCCTTTCCTTTGTTCAAGATTTTGTACATAATGTGAAAAAACTTTGTCATTATTGAAAAAGGGAGGCAGTGAAAAATAGTGTGTGCTAGTTTTAAACTCTGTTACCTGAGAGCTGGTTTCACAGGAAGTTTCACTGAGCAACAATTAGGTGTTGTTTATAGGTGTTTGAAAGCAAACAGGAGGTTAAGTTCCAGCAACAGACATTTTATGCCACTTCAGAAAACCAGCAGTATGGGGCAGGACAGCCCTACCTATGTAACTGATCCCTGCCCAGTGATCCAGAAAGAAATGAAATCTTGTTTCTTCAGTCCTCCTTGTATGTTCTAGAAAGAAAAATTATTTTTATCCTTGTATCCAGGCATTTGCTGCTGTCAGTAGCTAAGCAGTTGTTTAATCCTTTCATGGTTTCTTTAACCTGTGATGCCTTCACAGTGCCTGCAGGATTTTGTACCACACATACATTTTATTTACGAGACTCAGAACAATTCTGGTATGCAGGATTTTTTGCTCATGATGCTGCGGTACAATCTTTTTACCTTGAGGTGTTTGGACGGGCAGATAGGTACTAAAGGGAGGGAGAAAACTCTCCTAAGAGCATGTTTCCTGGGTTGAAATTGCTTGGTGTAACTCCAGCCAATGTGCTTTACTCTCAGATGCTAAGGCTGGAAGAGGAAATGTAACGTGATTTGAAACCAGACAGACTTGCGCTAATACTGTTCTCAGAGAGGCACATTAACAGAAAATCAATTGCGAAAGAAAAGCTTGAAAAAGTTAGGTCCACTCATAACATCAAGTCATAATTCAGATCTAAAAAGAAGGGACATGACAGTCTCCTAAGTTCTGGAAATAGCAGTACAGCATTTTGAAGAGTAAGTTGAGTCTCTGCCTGGAACTTGGTATTTCATTTTCCTACCTGTAGCCAAGAACAGTGAAATTTGTAGACTAGGTTTACTGCGTACATAAATCACAATTCTCATTTCTGATCTCTAGTCTGTAGTAATTGGAACTGGAAAAAGTTGAAATAGCAGCATATGTGTTTGGTTTATTTTCTGTACCAAAACCTTTTCTGTGCAAGTTTCAAGAATCGAATGGTTTTTTCCCTGTTTTGTTACCTTGGGAATGTAATTATTCAAACCTGAGATGAAGTACCTGGACAACATTCAAATTTAGCACACCCTTTTGTAATCTGTTGAGTGTGCTAAAATCAAAACTATCTTCTTGAGAAATAAAACATAAAACCTCATTTTTCTTTAAGGTCATCAACATTCCATAATTTTGTCAAGATAGCACTTACAAAAAATCCAAAGAAGAGACCGACAGCAGACAGACTTCTTTCTGTAAGTGTCTTGGAACATTTAGTGACATCAGTAAGAGATCTCTTGCTTCAAAGTGAGCCACAGATCAAAAGGAAACCCAACTGGAACAATTTTCTTTCTTCGATCTTACAACATGGGTGGTGAAGTCCAAAGGAAGGAGATACTAGTCAGCTAGCTGTAGGAAGTAGGAAGATTTTGTTCATTATCAGTATTTTTATACAATTTTTTAGGGAAAGTTACAGAAATTTGCTTAGGGTTCTGTAGTCAGCCTTTCTACAAGTGGGTGTCTCTGCCTCTTAGGTACAGCTACATAGACATTGACCCTTCCTGTTACCCAGTCAGAGAATGAATGTATTTAGCAGTTCTTCATGTATCTATTTCTGTCTTCCTAAACTCAACTGAAATACTCATGGAAAAAATAAAGTTAAGGTGCAATTGTTTGTCTCAGAGTTTAATTTCCAGTATATAAGTGGCCAAAAGTGTGGCATTTCCATGCTTATGGAGAGGTTTGAAACCCTAGCCATTGAGGAGTTGCTAAAGAAATACTCAAGCCCCAAGAAAGCAGACAAAATTCAGTATCATTACTGGATGTTTATTAATAAAAGCTACATACCAGTTGCGTATTATAACTTGTCCTTTTCTGCGGTTTCAGCATAGCTTTGTAGGGCAGCCTGGTCTTTCAAGATCTTTAGCAGTTGAGCTGTTGGACAAAGTTAATAACCCTGACAACCATACACACTACAGTGAAGCTGATGATGATGATTTTGAGGTGAGTGAAATAATCTTTTATTTTTTATCTGTAGGTAAAACTATGGTTTAAATACCCTGCTTTGCTTTGGGAATGTAAGATTGCAGCTTGACAGGGGCGCAGCCGCAACAGTTTGAGAGCTCCATTTTTAGAGTTACCATGCAGGAGAAGCAAGGGCATATTGCTACAGCACTTGTCATGCTTATGCTGTGGGTGTATAGAAAGATCATGTGCAGGGCTAAGACGAAGGTGGTGCATGTTACAGTGCGTGACTGCAACAGCTTTCCTCTTGTTAGTTTGATTGTTAATTAAGAACCAACAGAAAGCCATGCAACTTTTCTCAGCTTTTCCATTTCTAACCCTTGCAGCCTCATTCCGTCATCCGCCATACAATTCGTTCTACGAACAGGAACATTAGAGCAGAAAGAACAGCATCAGAGATAAACTGTAAGTTCTTGACGGGCTTTACCCATTTTGTTTTGCTAGTTTGCTTCTACCAATGAAGGATGTCGGTGTCATTCTTGTGTTGTGTACTCTGGAAAGTCTCTTCTATGGCTGGAACTTTGGAGGAACAAAACCAGAAGAAACAGCACATACACGTCAATCTTCAATAATATTTGTCTGAAACCAGAATTCATTACATCTCATTGCTGCATTGTAATGTTATGTGGAAACTTTGCATGACCAGCAGAGTGTTTCAGCTCTATGATCTCTTGTCAGACCATGCAGCCTTACTTAAAGGAGCAAAACCACTAATAACGTGCAGACATAAAAAAATGAGAGTGAGTTGATAATTAGGAGGACATATTTCCTTGTGTACATTGGGTGTCATGATGTAATGAGAAAATACAGGAAAACATAGCATTTTGTGTTTCCACATTGTTGTTTGTCTGCACAATGGCTAAACAGAAGGAGGGCAGGTTTAGATCAGATAACTAGGAAAAGATTCTTCACTATGTGAGTGGCGAGACACTGGAAGAGGTTGCCCAGAGAAGCTGTGGCTGCCCCATCCCTGGACATGTTCAGGTTGGAGAAACCTTTGAGCAACCTGGTCTAGTGGAAGATGTCCCTACCATTGGCAAACGGGTGGAACTGGGTGATCTTTTAAGCTCCTTTCCAACCCAAACCATTCTAAGATTGTTTCAAGTTCATAAGTGAAATCTTTCCTTAACCCTGATGGAGCCCTTGTGGTTGCAATAGCTGTCCTGACCAGGGTGCATGTTAATAGAATGCATTTTCTTTTAATAAGACCTTTTTTTTTTAATAACAAAATACTACTCAGTTGTATCGAAGTTGACATTTTGAGGGTAGGAATGATCCTTTTCCAGGTTTGGACAAATGTTTTTTGTAATGTCAATGCTGCCTGCTCCTTTGCATCACGTACATCACACTTTTAAGAAGCTTGCTGTTAAAAAGTCTCACATTCATTAAAAGTAGCATGTGGTAAACATACTTAGGTTCTGGTGTGCTTTCACATAATGACTTGGTATTTACTTTTGGTCTGTTTCTTGTGGGTTTCATATTTGCAAATTTAAGCATTTAGACAATAAGGCTGATACTTAAGTGACGGTCACATTTTATAGGCAAATTAAGCGTTGTGTACATAATATTTAGATCTGTTATAACATGCATTTCACAGTAGTAAGCATAGAAAGAGCATTGGTATAATTAATGTTGTGTCCATTAAATTTGAAAATGCAATGTTTTGTAGTTGATAAGCTGCAGTTTGAGCCCCCTCTACGGAAAGAAACAGAAGCTCGGGATGAAATGGTAAGGGCAGATTTGGTTTTTTCTTCATTTATTAAGATCATAGTATCTTTGTTGTTTTGTGGCTCTACTCATAGTAATATGTGTCTGAAATACAAAGTCATGAGAAGACCACTCTTGGTCCCCAGACAGTTTTTAAGAAAATGAATTGCCCTCCGTGCTTTTATGGTTATGCTTAAATGAGAAAACCAATGTGTGCCAATTAATTTGATTATGTGGAGAGGCTGTTCTGCATTTGAGACCCTGATCTTCCTGTCATCAGAGTTTATTTGCTGCTTGTTTCTTGGAAGGCCACCAGATCACATGCATCCAGTTCTGCCCCCTGTGAGCTGCTGCTGTTTGTTCCAGCCCTCAGCAGTTTACTGTAGATCAGTTAATTAACGTTCTTTGGGATTACTGTGTGCCTGTGTACACAAGGCTCCATTTTTCAATAAGTGTTGTCAACAGCAACAGCTGCCATTAATTTGGATTTGGAGACATTAGTGCTCAGCACTCCAGAAAAATCCCATTCCTGTTTTTCACAGCTGTATTCCAGTTCACCAGGTAGGTGATGTTGATGGCTGCAGTATGTTCTCTTGCTGGAACAGTGTCTTGGAGCTGCCTTGACTGGAAAATCCTTACTGAGTTTTCACCATAAGTTTTTGCTTTTGTGTTACTTATTGCTACTTGATACCGGTATTACATCATTTCCAAGTGCTGCTTTTAAATCTGAGTCTAAGAAGATGGTAGCTTTTCAATAGTTGCTTTATAATTAGTTTGTAAAATATCAGTTCACTTTGGAATTTTATTTTGCTACTTATGGGTCATTCTGCAGGGCTCTTCATGTGCTGTGGTAAAGTACTTCATTTTGACAAGGGAAAAAATGACAATTTGTTCATCTTCAGGTTGTGGCAGCTGGCACCGACTTCGCTTCACATTGGAATCCTTTTGTTGATGGAAGCAGCAAGTAAGTACAGTTTAAAAGCACCTTTTATTTCTGTGACTTAACATGAAAATGCACTCTGAAACAGAAATGGAGCTATGGTGGAAAGATCAAGCCTTAAGCCCTAAGCCACTTAAATATTCATAAAGTCAAAGGAAATTTTACCCAGTATGCAGTCCTTCTGCAGTTGGTTCATCATTCTCTTGGGCAATGAGTTTTAATCTCTTTTAGCCACAAACAGTAGTTTGTTTAAAGTTCGTTGTAGCCCTCCACAATTCTAGATGGAAAGTGAAGTATAAATGTATGGCCCGCACACTGAAATAATACAGCCAAAGACATTTTTCTTAAGCAGAGCTGGTAACCTTGCAAGGGCTGAGTTCAGGATCCTGCGCTGGCCTTGCGCTTCTGAGCTGCAGCTGCAGTTGTGACATCCTGTGGCAAAACACATTTGCAGCCCTGAAGCTGGGTCCTTGCAGGAAAATGAAGGAGAAACCAGTTCAAGTTTGGTGGCATGACTGCTCCTGCTGTGGGGTCTGACAGGTGTACTCTATAATACAGTCATACAGTGTTCTGGGGTGAAATGTTTTAGGTAAACATATGCTATAACTGCTTTCCCCTGGGATAAAGCAGGCCTGAAGTAAGGAAGCACATCTCTGTCCAAGTTAGGACTGAAATTATTAAGTATGTGGCTTTCTTTTGCTTTAAAATACTGGATTCTGCCTTTAAAGGCAATTTTTGAATTCACAGTGAAGAATATGAAAGTTCAGTAATACTGACTGATGCACATATGTAGGGAAAGACTATTTCAGTTGAAATAATTGCTGTTTCCTATCTTTATTTGGAACTGAGTAGCAGACAGTAAATTTCTTTGGCTTTTTGCAGATACAGGCTTGCATAAGTTGTCAGCTGATATTACAGCCCCCTGGAAAGCTGTCCGTGTCACAGAGATTGCCAGTGTTTGGGTCTTTTTAAGTCCAGCCTGGGGTTTTTGTTCTCACTCTCACTGTAGTAAAAGTTTGGAGTAGCATTCTACGCCCTTTCTCCCTCTCCAGTAATGACAGCGACTGCTTTCCTTCCTCTCTTGGTTTGTTTGTGTGACCCTGATGAGCTGCAGATTAAAAGCCTGTCTCGTGAATGCTGGCTTTTGTGAAGACAGCTGGAATCTGTGGGGCCGAGGAGCAGGGAGGCAGGGAAGTGCCTCCCAGCAACTTGACTTACTGATCTGATTCTGTTTCTGTGATGTTATTAAAATTGTCTGTAACAGGCTGTATTAAAAGCAGAATGAATGTGGCCATAGCAAATGTGCCTAGTAGATAGATACAGATTTAGTATTTGAAAGCAGGAGAGGCATAAAGTTTCTGGATGGTGAATCTGTGCTGCTTGCTTGGAAACTGCTTCCAGTTTGAAAACATAAACAGGAAATGCATAGCTCCTCTGTCCCAGCAATTCTGAGTAATACCAGGGATGCACAGAGAGGATGTGTGCTGGGAGGGTCCCTGCTTTTCATGTCCTTTATCAGAATGAATGGTGATCAATATCTCTGGAATTACTGGTCTGGAATGGGGGGTAGCAGCAGGTCTACTTGATGGTATTCTCATTGTAGCATTTTAAAAATACTTTTTAATACATTTTTTTTGTATTCTGGAGGTGGTTTTATGGATGGTTGGTTTTTTTCTCCTTTAAAATTTTTGATAGTTCCTGTTGGCAACCGTCTGCTGCTTTCCCTGCAGAAGTAACCTGCAGGGAAATTTTACATTAATCCAAGTTTGGCTGGGTTCATTTTTGTATAATACGCTTTTGTTTTCCTGCTCGTTACCCCTGTGGTCATCCCTCAGTGGGTGATGTGGTGCATTGCAGAGCATGGAAGGATGTGTGAGTTGGCAGGTGTGGGGGTGTCTGCTCTGCATGCAGGGACTTGGACTGCACCAGGCAGCTGCAGCATGCACCAGCCTGTCCCTGGCCAAACACTGAGACAGCCAGCTTCTGAACTGGCTCTTCCACCTCACCATTCCTAAAAGCAGAAGCTCAGACTTAACAACATCACAGCAACATGCTAAGGAATTCTTTTTATTTGGTTTAGATTTCTGGTTTCAATTTTTTTATTTATTTATTTTTTATTTAATGCAGTTTTTTATTTTTAAGGCAGAGCTTGAAAATTGTCATTTTGCAAAATCTTACCAGTTTCTGTTTGTTTCAGGAGTACCTTGTAGTGCTGCTTTGATCTTCTAGTCACAATTTCTTTTTTGACCCTGAGGTAGCTTTGAAACAAAAATTCCTGCTGTAATGGGAAACACTAACGGAGGAAACTTCCCTTTGTAAAGGCTTTTCCCCATTTGTCTCCCAGTAACATCCTCTGTTCTCCTATTTTTTTCTTCTGTTTTCCTGTTTCTCTCATCTTGTACTGCTATTAGGCATTTCAACAGTATTTAAAATACCAGGTAGGGAAGTGAAAGATGAGTTGATGGTACCTGATATGGAAGAGAGCTTCTGTGATAACTGGGGGGTGAGGGGAAGGAAATACTAAATGAGAAAGAGCTCAATGCAGTGAATAAGAGAGAAGTACTTTGTTTTGAAAAGGGATGGGAGATGTTTGTTATGAAACTAAATGACATCACCGGTCAGTTTAGTTGCATGTGTCAACCTCAGGGCAGAGCTCTTAATTTTATAAACGTTTTACCTAGGGTACTGCTTACAAAATTTGGCGATGGGAGTGAAGATGTTGAAGAGTGAGTGGACCTCCTTCACGTACAATTGTGTTTACTCCATGTGGCTCTCGCTAAAACAGGCAGCGTTCTGGCAAAACCTCTTTCCTTAAAATGCTGCAGGCAGCTTTGCCGCTCATAAATAAATGAGGGCTGGTTGCACTCCAAGGTCTAACGCACGCTTGACTGTTCTGATGGTCAGCAGAATGTCTGCAAAGCAATGCTTTCTTCCCTTGCTCTCCTTCCTAAGGTTATCTTCGCGTGCATATGGAAGTGCCTAATGCTTTAAAGCAGATTTTATATTGATTAATCCATCGATCATGCGCCAGATCCAGTAGTGACAGGACGTGCAGGTATTCCTGCAGAGCTCTGGTGGGGTATGTGCGGCTCCTCTGCTGCCCAGATGTTTGTCTGATCCAGAGTGAAAGCTGCAAACTGTACCAGACTAGCCCTGAACATAAATTTATTTGCTAGTTTCAAATACCCTCCACCACAGAACGCTCTATAACATTGGCGTTTATGAAAGAACGTGAGTTAAAAACCCAGCACTTCTAACAAGATTAACATGCTTTCCCCTCCCCCCACCCCAAACTTCTAGTTTGACCCTGTGATCCACCTATTCTATGCATCTAGATGCGTTCATGCAAAGCCTTGATCCATCTATCCTATGCATCTAGCTCGTCTTAAGAGTCTGTATTCTTAGGTAGTTCTGTTTATGTTGTTGGTTTAGCTAATACAACTACGAAACTTTTTCATTGTAGATCAACCCTAAAACGAGCAGGGCCACCTCCACTACCTCCTAAGGTAAGAGATGGTGGGGTTCATGAGTTTAGGAAGCAAATTCCACTTGTGCAGCCTCTGCAGTGCTTTGTCTGATGCTCTCAGTAGCTCATATATTCTGTTAAAAAACATTTGCTAGCAAACGTTGTGCAGCTTCATATTTATGTTGACTAGCAGTCTGTATCGCCTTGACCTCTGGGGGCTCCTGGCGTTGTACACTACCCTAGACAAAATGACTTGTAGGTATCTTCCCCCTAAGAGAGCATGCTGCATGGGATTTCCTCTTGTTCAGCATTCTGTCTGCTGCTGTGATTTTCCATGAGAGAAGGAATACCTCTTAAATTATCCTGCTGTTAAATGGCTCTTTTCAAAGGCTGACTTTTTTTTTTTTTAATGGTGAAGCAGTCTGACTTGAATTGTCTGAAGTTTATGCTTCCAGGTGCCATTTCCAGGTAATCTTCACCTCTGTTTTGTTACAGCCGAGAATAAACAGTTATCCTGAGGAGAACCTCCCAGATGATGACAAATGTCAGACAATAAAACGCTTCCCAGACTCACAGAACAGAGCCCCACCAGCTCACAGGAGACAGAGTATCCCTGTTTGTGGGCCTCAGGCTGATTCTTCCCCCATTGGTATGACCAGCAGCATCAGTAGCCCTGGATTACTCACAGCTAGATACAGCGACTTAGGTAAATGGATTACATTTCCTATAGGTAACTTGCATCCTGTAAAAGCAAATCAGTTCTGGAGTCAGCTATTTTTAGCAGATAATTTTTTTAACACAAGTTGATCACGAGGTGCAGCTTTCCTTTATACACGTGTGCTGGTACCTGAGATGCATATATAAATGTTTCAGAGTTCACTTCTCAACTCCTGCTAGATAAAGGGGAGAAGAGAGACCAGAGCAACAAAAATATTTTCTATTTCACTATGTTGAGCAAGCTACAAAGTGTGTCTGGGCTTCTTTTCAGGGAATGGGGGTGGCATGCTGAAACTCATAGAAGAAAATGCAGAAGGGTCTGGACAAATCCCTCAACTGCCACGTAAAAAAGAGAAAAGAGATTTCCCTGTAAGTTTTGTGACTCTCAGTCTGATTTCACTGTCATGTTAGCTAGCTAGTTTTATCAGTGTGGGGAAGGTATTTTATGATCTTTCTTTCTTCCCACAGAAGCCAGCAATCAATGGTTTACCACCGACACCGAAGGTGCTGGTAAGAAATCTCATTTGCAGTTGGAGTTATTGGAAGCCTGTTCTAATGGCATCTCTCTAGTGTCAGAAGGTTTATGCTAGAATAAACCACCAGCTCATCTGGCATGATTTTTTGCAACTCATAGCCAGTTAATTTTTGTGTACTGAACCCATGATTTTTGTTTCCTGTTCTTAAAAACTTCCTTCCACCATTCAGTGTGGATGTGAAGGGTTGGAGATTTCACTGGCTCTGAGTTATGATCTCAAGTAGTAGTCCCTGCTTAGTAAAGAGAAAGTGGGGGAGAGGTGGTAGTGGTGTGAGACAGTGTTATTACTTCTGGTTGTTTTCCCTTCATATGCTATTTGTAACCACTCAATATTCATACATACAATGATCTAGGTTGGAAAAGACCCTTAAGACTATCAAGTCCAACTGTTACTGTAACACTGCCAAGCCCACCACTGTGGTCCTAAGCACCACATCTCCATGTCTTTTAAATACCTCCAGGCTATATTGTTCTCACCCAGTGGTACTTAAAATTTTTCATCCCTCTTTGCATTTCTTAATGTGTACAAAGCTTATGAAAAGGTTTGTAAAGCTCATTTGTAGCCTTTGGGAAGATAAAAACGTTTTGCATCAAACCATATTAGAGTAAGCTTGTATCTGAAGAAAGAGAGCCACGGTGCATACAGGTGTGTACTTAGTGGCCAGGTGCCAGCAGATAAACACTTTATACTGTGAACTATTTCAGGTTTCAGTTTTGGTGTCTTTCAGATGGGAGCATGTTTTTCCAAAGTCTTTGATGGTTGTCCTTTGAAGATTAATTGTGCAACATCATGGATACATCCAGATACTAAAGGTAAAGTTATTTTAAGTTTTTATTTTAAACCTGCTTGTTGCCAAAGTGGTAATGAACTTGTGAAATAATATCTTTCTCTTAAATTTTTAGATCAGTACATTATCTTTGGCACAGAAGAAGGTATCTATACGTTGAATTTGAATGAACTTCATGAAGCAACAATGGAACAGGTGATTTTTAGTGTACTGAACACAGATATAGGGATATTATGAAGCAAGAAAGTTTGGTATTAGATGGGATAGATGGGATGCGAGGCTTTGTGGCATAAACTGATCCACATCAAAGCTAGCAATGGCATTCAGAAAATTAACAGTTCCCCTGCCTACCGATTTGAGGGGTTTTTTTGATGCTGCTTATGTAACACTGCTTTCAGAGGACTTCTCTCTTAAAACACCTTTCTTCCTGGGAACAGCTGATTACGTGCCCTTTCTCTCCCTGTTTTATCTCCACTAGATGGCATATTGCTGCTCCACTGGATGTTACCAAAACACTCAACCATTTCATTTATCTGATATTATCATCACCAATAAATACACATTTGCTTCTGTTTTCTTGGGCACTCTAAGCCTTTCCAAAGGCACTTCATGCAGTCGTGGTACTGTTATATTTGCTCTTTTAGAGTCAGGAGTAGCAGAGTTTTCTTGGATAAGCTGACAAATGCTGATAATTAATGTTTACTCTTGTAGGTTTGTAAAGCAGTTCACAAAGGCACTTCAAGCATCTAAAGAGCAATACATTCAGTCAAGACATGGCACAGGCTAGAAAGGAGTGGTGGCAGAGTGGGTGTATCTGAGTAATAGTGAGAGAAAGATGATTTCAGGGGCACTGCACAGAGATCTGTGCTTAAGAAAGTCCTCTGTTTCTGAGAGGACAAAAACAAGAGGACAAAACTCAACATGGAAAGTGGTTGAGGAAGATCATCGAGGGGTTAGTTTGGCACAGGCAAAGACAAGAGATGATTATAAAGGGCTTGATGATGAGAAATGGGAATCTGAATTCAATACAATTAGAAGATCCTCTTGAATTAAGAGAGCTGAAGGTGCACCTGAACTCAGTAGGATAGTGTTGAATAATGAAGTTGTGTACCTTTTTGTGGCCTTAGCAGACACAGGGTACACCTATCTAAAAATTGTGGTGGCACCTGTTGGAGACCCCCTGGCCTTCTTACCTCAATTTTCTCTTTTCTCCATTAACCAAAGCAATTTCTTCCCTTGTACGTTTTCCTAAACGCTTCATGTAACGGTCTTCTCTGGACTCTTCCATGTGCTTTTTTATATCCTATTTTCAACAGGATAGATATGTCAGTGCTTTTGTGGCTTGTTCCTGTGCTGCTCTGGCTACTTAGTCAGTTGGACTATTTTGCAATTCCCACTGGCCTTTTTATTTGGCATAGGTATCGTGTTTGTCCTTGAGGTACTTGTTTGTCCTCCATCAGTTCTTGACAGTAATTATTACTGAGACCTTGGGGTCTGAGCCAGTTCTTAAGTACTGTAAAGTAAACCTTATTGGGACCTGCTGCCATGAGTATATCTAGTTGAAATAGTGTGTAATGTGTCCTTTTTCTGCTCCTAGCACAAGATGCTATTAACAGTGCTATTAGCTGTGTAAATCATGTAGCCTTTTTGCCCCTCTCTTCTAACTTTTGTGGGATTTAATAGGTTTCTGTAATACTATCTTTCTCTGGCTGTCATTTCTAAGCAAGCTGTATCTTTTTATGTATGGGATTCCAGTCTTGCCAGTTGTCCCAATTTGGCTCTGTGCTAATTAAAAAATGAAGAGAAATAGAATTTTGAAAGTTGAAGGGGTAGAAGAGTGAAGGTATGAAAGTATTTCACCCAGAGAAAAGGGCTAAGTAAGGATCCAAAAAAATTAATTAAAGGGGAAGCTGTAGTTGCAGCTGGGACTTTCTCCTGTATCAATCCCTGCAGGAATGATGGTGGAAATGGAGCAGGCATGATTAGAAATTCCTGTATGTTTCTGTTAATGGAAATACTTTCTTTCTTCAGTTATTTCCCCGAAAGTGCACATGGCTGTATGTTATCAATAACACCTTAATGTCCTTGTCAGGTATGTATACATAGAGGGGAAATCAGTAAGATTATAAATAAAGAGAAACACTTCAAGTTGTAATTCTGTACAATGTATTTTGATTGTGCTGAAGTAGAAAACATGGGGTTTTTTTGTTGCGCTTGAAGCTTTGCTTCCAGAGTGTTTTAATATGAAAGACTTCAAAAAATAAAACTGATGTTTACAAGTAGTAGAGCCAGTTGTCTGCAATGTCCCACCATAATTATTGCATTTATTGAATTATTTATTGAATTATTTTATGTTTGTAATTTATTTTTAGTTAGAGCTCAGCACTTGGCATTTGTCAAATAAATTGCCTCTGTCAAGGCTGCAATTTGACTGAAAGTGGCTGGCAAATCTGAAGTGTCCTCCTCTGGTCCCTGAGCTAGGAGAGTCAGCATAAGGATGGCTTTAATGTGTCATAACAAAATCAGGAGAGGATTACCATAGGTGCATTACTGAAATGTAGCTACAGTGTGTGCTCACTCTCAGTGTATTGTAGCCTGGGAGCATTTTTTGAATGAACCAGATTCAAAAAATAAATCAACCCTAAACCAAAACCAGTTTCAAATTGAAGGAGAATGAGGTGCCTGTGAAATACTAATTCAGAAGATTGATGCTTGAAAAAAAAAACACTGGGTTATTTTTCATCAGTTGTCCTGGAATAGGATATTACAGATAGGAAACAGAGGCGCTGTGTCATGGAGACTAATTGTAGCACTGTGCCTTTAAATATGCAAAGTTGTGTAGTACCACTTGTACTGATTTATAGATAAAAATGTTTTGATACAGTTAAAATCATAGAATAGTTAGGGTTGGAAAGGACCTTAAGGTCATCAAGTTCCAACCCCCCTGCCATGGGCAGGGACACCTCGCACTAAACCATATCACCCAAGGCCTCGTCCAACCTGGCCTTGAACACTGCCAGGGATGGAGCATTCACAGCCACCCTGGGCAACCTATTCCAGTGCCTCACCACCCTAACAGGAAAGAATTTCCTCCTTCCATCCAGTCTAAACTTCCCCTGTTTAAGTTTGAGCCTGTTACCCCTTGTCCTATCACTACAGTCCCTAATGAAGAGTCCCTCCCCAGCATCCCTATAGGCCCCTTCACATACTGGAAGGCTGCTATAAGGTCTCCACGCAGCCTTCCCTTCTCCAGGCTGAACAGCCCCAACTTTCTCAGCCTGTCTTCATACAGGAGGTGCTCCAGTCCCCTGATCATCCCCGTGGCCCTCCTCTGCACTTGTTCCAACAGTTGCATGTCCTTTTTATGTTGAGGACACCAGAACTGCACACAGTACTCCAAGTGAGGTCTCACGAGAGCAGAATAGAGGGGCAGGATCACCTCCTTCGACCTGCTGGTCACACTCCTTTTGATGCAGCCCAGGATACAGTTAATTGTTGTTGTATAATTACAGCCTTCTAAAAATGTTCACATAAAAGCAACTTTCAGAGCTGCTTTAATGTTACTGAAATGAACTCTGAGTTGAACACCATGGCTTCTTTGTATACATTATTGTTGTTTTGTTTTCTTTTGCTTCAATAACTGGACTTGAAATACCTGGTGCACGTGGCCCATTCTTCTAGAAGGTAATTTTCTATACCTACATTTTTCTTAACTGTGCGGTTCTCTGCTGGAGGCATGGGTATGATGTCAGTTGTGCTTTTCTCTCTTTACAGGGAAAACATTCCAGCTGTACTCCCATAATTTAATAGCTTTGTTTGAACAAGCCAAAAAAACAGGATTAGCGGCTCATATTCAAACCCATAGGTTTCCTGACAAAATATTACCAAGGTACAAATCTTTCACTTATAGGCAATTATTAACAAGTGAAAATTCCCATAAATGCTGTTTGTGCTGCTGAATTGGTAGCGTGAAAGGCTTTGACACCTCTCGTTGATGCATGTTTGCATAATTGTGATTCCAGGAAGTTTGCCTTAACGATGAAGATCCCTGATACCAAAGGATGCCACAAATGCTGTATAGGTGAGCCAGAGCTGTGCTGTGCAGTTTTTTTCCTGTCTTTGTATTGAGTGTGGCATGTCTTACACTCATTTCTTTTTAATAAACTTACAGTTAGCTCAGTCTTCAGAAAACGGTATGACTGCATCATTTCTTATTGCTGTGCCTAAATGGTGCTTAGCTTTCCTTTTAATTAATGTGGAGGGTCTTTATGCTGCTGAGTAAAAAAAAGCATTTTCTGTATCAGCTCTTAACCTAGAAATGTTGCAGTCTAGAGCAAGGTCCAGAGGGAAACTCTGGAGAATGCCAGCAGCATGTAGCTGGTGGGTGTTGCACACTCTCTTTGAGACCTGCAGTGTTTGGGATCACTGGCTTTGGGATCAATGGCTTCAGGCTGCCCACAGAGCCAACTAGTTAGTGTGAAATGCAGCCTGTCTGCAAATATAAAGCTTATTACAGGATCCCAGATTTGCTGCACATACGCAAGTATCTTTTCTGCTTTGTCAGTTTGGCTCAGGGTTTGACCTACATCCAACTTTTGGCAAGGCTCACTTGAAAAGAATATTTTCCACAAAGAAAGGGCTGGACATGAATAGAAATTATAACAGCCTAGAGAGGAGTGAAGCCGTCGCTCCAGAACTCCAGAGTTAGAAGAGTTAAAGCTTGTGAACTTATAGATTTGTCTTTGGCTTCACTGACTTTGGGAAGAGGCTTGGGCTTTCTACAGAATGCATGTCCTTTTGAAAACTGGTCCTGGTGTTGTATGAAACTGTACCTTTGTGCTTGTAAAAATGCTTAAGCAGAGTATAAAATACCTACTTGTAAACTTTGATATCCTGATCAGCTCATATGAAATGTCTACAGTAGGCATATTTACAAATGATTCCTGAAGTCAGGCTGGTCTTGTATCCAACTGAGCTTAGAAAAAACAAACCCCAAAACCTTCATCATGCTATTGCATGAACTGTCAAAACTCAGACATTATGGGCCACCTTCACTGCTTGGGCATGTTTTTTCTATAAATCCAACTTGACCCAGACCTTTCACTTCCCTGCTCTCACATCCCCAGGAAGAAGGCGTTACAGCTCTTCTGGACACTCAGCATGTGGCCTCTTCACTGGGACTTAAAGAGTGATAGCAGTTATTAATTATGATTGAATTTCTCTGGAAAGTAGCACGATATTAATCACTGTGGATATCTGCATGCCAAGCCAGAAAGCAATTAGTGTGAAACTGATGATGTGTCTTAAATTGTTTGCAAAGATAGCTGGGAGGTTTTTTCCAAGTGTGCGTTGTACTTCCAGGACTTAAAAAAGGTTGTTTTCTGTGGGTGTTTTTTGTTTGTTTTTTTTTTATATAGTACGAAATCCATACACAGGACATAAGTACCTCTGTGGTGCACTGCAGTCTGGAATTGTTCTACTACAGTGGTATGAGCCAATGCAGAAATTCATGTTAATAAAGGTAAGCATATAATTTTCATTTAGAACATTAATCTTCATCATAATACAGTTGTTGAAATAACCTCTCCAGAATTTGTAATGGAAAGTACATCCCATTCTAGTCCCATTTGTGGGTTCTGAGCACTTGAAAATCTGGCTTGACATATTTTGACTAAGAAAAATCTTGTGACTGAAGTCAGGCAAGTGTTGGATCAAGCCCAGTACTAGCAGTAACAGACCAGCATGTACCTCTGTGCAATGTAATGCTGCTCACAGCTCGTGCTGTCTCAAAAAAGCACTCTTGGTAGCAGTGAAAAACATTTTCTATATCTTTTATAGTTTTTCATGTTATTTTAGGCTTCTTATTTCCAAGGTAAGGTAAGACTTTATAAATGCCCTGTTATGTTTTTTTCCAGCACTTTGACTTTCCTTTGCCAAGCCCTTTGAATGTGTTTGAAATGCTAGTGATACCAGAGCAGGAGTACCCAATGGTCTGTGTAGCTATCAGCAAGGGTACTGAACCAAACCAGGTTGTTCACTTTGAGACAATCAACTTGAATTCTGCTTCTTCATGGTTTACAGAAATTGGTGCAGGTAAGACTGTTGGTTGATCTTGCAGCCATTTTATTGTCTAGTAGCTGTTGGATATACCTTCCTCAGCAGTCATTTGGAAACTCTTTAGACTAGGCAAAATGATGCAGCTTCTCTACCTAAAGCATACTGAAGATGATTCCAGGTTCTGCTCGTGATGACCTGCCAACTTCAGTATAAAATGTATTTCTTAAAAGGCTCCAGTTTCAGACACATCCCCTAATTTAAAAATCTCCTTAGACAGTAATGCAGACCCTGCTGATTGGGTTCTCATTTGTGGCTCCATACTCTTTCCTGGGATCAGTTGTTGTCCTCTTTCCCTTTCTTTCCTGTGTACAAATTCACATAAATGCATTCTTGTCTGTCCTCCAGCTCTTGGGGGGAGGCTTGTCATCCTCAGCTGGCTAGTAATAAATAGAAGATTCTGTTTTATGTTCAAAAGCTACTTGATACCTTGCAGATGCTTTTTTCCCGCAGGCTTTGTTGAATATACTTTTTAACATTTAAATACTGCATTTTAGCAGCTGTACCAAGAACTTCATTAATAAAAACTAGAAAAACTATTAAATCTAGTTTAATATCAGCACAATAATCTTTCCAGATGGGGATTTATGGGCACAGAGGAATTTTTTTAGGAGCAAAGATTTCCTTGATGATTTTTGTTGTTCTTTATCATGCCTCTTTGTGAAGGAAGCTGACATGCTGTGCTGAGCTGCAACATAAAATGTGTTGTAGGCAAATAAACAGTAATGCTCTCATATTAAATGCCTGCTTTGAACTGATGGGTCTGTCCTTAGGCCCTGTACTTCTCCCAGAAATGTCTGGAATCATATAGCCTTAAAAAAAAAAAAATCCCTGAGCGTAACAAAGTGTAGATTGCAGAAGACTTGGAGCATACTGAGAAGGTTGTAGCAGTTGGTGAGAAGTTGAGGGGAGGCTGAGATCAGTCTTATGATGTGAGATAAAATAATCTGTTTTCTCTTTCACAAGGCAATCAGCAGTTAGATGCCATTCATGTAACACAGCTGGAAAGAGACACTGTCTTAGTCTGCCTGGACAGTAAGTAATACATCTCTGTTGGGCAAATTACCACACCTTGTGCAAAACTGGTTTTGCCACAGTTGTTGATTTTAACTCTGCTACAAGTTAATTTTTCTCCCTTCATTACTAATTTGTGTTGTAATATTTCAGAATAAGTAGTTTCTTTTGACTCTTGGGATTCCACGTTCCCTCTTCATGTGTGGAGGGTTCATGTGTGGATCATTCTTGTTTCTTTTCAAATTGAAAAAATGAAAAAAAAAAAAGAAAAATTTCAAATTCAAATTGGTCAATTAAAAACCAAGCTAATCAGAAATTTTCAATACTTGGGGAAGGTGGCATTTGCCTGTTGCATGTACTAGCAGGACAAATAGCCAGTACTCCGTCATATACAAGAATTATAACCATAACTCTCATGAATCATGTGTTAATACCTCAATGGGAACACTGCAATGACTTAATCTGCCTAAATTTTCAAGCTTTATGTTGAATTCACATTTCTGCACTGTTTGTTATTTGCAGGAAGGCTGTCAGTAGAGTCTAAAAACATACAAAGTGTGTAAGAAGGTTTTCTATATTTATTTTGATAGAAGGATGCTCTTGGTTTTGTTTTAAGCAGATACTGTTGGTTTTAGGTTTGGGCATTTCTTAGTGCCTGAAAGATTAAATTAGTATGTTTTACTTAAAGCTGTCAGTAATCCTTTTCAGCAGTGGGTTTCAATGCTTATTTTTCTTTTTTTCTTGAGAATTTGTGAAAATTGTGAATTTACAAGGGAAATTGAAGTCAAGCAAGAAATTGGCCTCTGAGCTGAGCTTTGATTTCTGCATTGAGTCTGTGGGTAAGTGATTTCCTTCTCTGTTGTCTCTCAAGGACTTAAGAGGGATGAGTGCTGAAGGGGTTTCAATGGTCTGTACTGGTCTAGTGCACCCAGTGGGGCCTGACACTAAAAATTGCATGTGTCAGTATACTGTGAGCTGTCTGTCTCCACTGACATGTTGAAGAAAGTAAAGCAGTTGCCAGATAGCATGTCCAATCTGCATGTGTTTCCATCTGTTGTCATTTCTGGTTTCAGCTAAATGACAGTGCATCTTACTTTGAAAATAAGACCGACTAGTTTCTGATAATTTCTGTAGCACTGAGAAAAACCTTTGGGGAGCAGAAACATTTTAGTAATACCTAAATGTGTGTTAGTCTTCTAAAAGCTAAGATTTTATTTAAAGTGATAGCACATCCAATTTTTTAATAGGATAATAGTATTTCAGTCTGATTTTTTTGAGGACAGGCTGCTGTCCTCTAGTAGTTTAAAGACAGCAACCTTGTTTCTGAACTTGAATTGTAATTGGTAAGCAAGTATTTCTGCTGTAACAAACTCTCAGAAGTATCTAACATAAGCTTAATAATTTGTATCTCAGAAACTGCACTTCTTTCTGCAACCAAAATCAGTAAAGACAGAACTTGCTTTTGTTAGCAGTTCTGTACAACTTGCATTTCTGGGTTCTTTGGGCATCTTCCCTTCAAAAGAAGATTCTTGGTACAGGTATTTTGTATTTTAACAGCAGTTGGTAAAACAGTGCACATTCCTTTATACAGCATCTCTATTTTGATATGTCAGATCCATCCTGAAAAAAAGATATTTTTAATCAAGCCTGTGAGTCTTCCCTAACTTCTGATGTGTTCTGATTAACTGCTGTGTTTGTATCATACAGTATCTCTTTCTGACACATACATAACATGACTTGACCATGCCATCTTCTTGAACGCTGAAGGAATTTATAGACAGAAGCATTTATCCCGAAGTCTTGCACTTAGCAGCTGACATTGAATAATGTGAGCAGTTCTTTACACAGCAAGTGGTCTCTTGGGAATTCAGGGTATTAAACAACTTGTCATGCTCCGATTGCAGGGTGGAGTCAGGAGCAGCAGGTGAAGATTAGTTTAAGGCTGTTGTAACAAACATTGCTCTTAGGATTCTGCTGAATGCCTTTGTTCTGTGCATTTAGTACATGGCTAATACTGAGCAGATACAAAATGTCATTCAAATGAGTAGTAAAGGGAAACAAGTAGGATTTAGTAAAATTAAGCACAGTGTAAAATGTTTCTGTAACACTGCTTAAAGAGCATCAGGCTCTTCATCCATTATTTTCAGCAGTCTGGTAATCAGATCATTCAGAGCTAGTAGCTCCCTGTTTTCTCTCTTTGGCCCTGAATGGAAGACTTCTGCCTATTTTTATACTCGTACCTATTCTGAAGTAGAATCATAGAATAGTTAGGGTTGGAAAGGACCTTAAGATCATCAAGTTCCAACCCCCTGCCATGGGCAGGGACACCTCGCACTAAACCATATCACCCAAGGCCTCGTCCAACCTGGCCTTGAACACTGCCAGGGATGGAGCATTCACAGCCACCCTGGGCAACCTATTCCAGTGCCTCACCACCCTAACAGGAAAGAATTTCCTCCTTCCATCCAGTCTAAACTTCCCCTGTTTAAGTTTGAGCCTGTTACCCCTTGTCCTATCACTACAGTCCCTAATGAAGAGTCCCTCCCCAGCATCCCTATAGGCCCCCTTCACATACTGGAAGGCTGCTATAAGGTCTCCACGCAGCCTTCCCTTCTCCAGGCTGAACAGGCCCAACTTTCTCAGCCTGTCTTCATATGGGAGGTGCTCCAGTCCCCTGATCATCCTCTTGGCCCTCCTCTGCACTTGTTCCAACAGTTCCATGTCCTTTCTATGTTGAGGACACCAGAACTGCACACAGTACTCCAAGTGAGGTCTCACGAGAGCAGAGGGGCAGGATCACCTTCTTCGACCTGCTGGTCACGCTCCTTTTGATGCAGCCCAGGATACGGTTGGCTTTCTGGGCTGCAAGCGCACACTGCTGGCTCCTGTTCATTTTCTCATTGACCAGCACCCCCAGTGATCTGTAATTTCCAGAAACTCACAGTGTTTTGGTTGGCAGCATGTTTATGTGCTTCCTGGTGTTCTCTCAAGAATCATTAGGAAAACAAAGATCCAGAGAATAGAAGTGAAAGGGAGAGAAGGGAAAACCAGAGATGCTTATCTTGTCCTGGCAAACAAGGAATGTCTGAGTAGTATGTTTTGAATTGCACTTTATAAAGTAATGTGTCTCAGATCCAAACAGTCATTTCAACCCAGCTTTCTTACAGTGAACAGGTTGCCCAGAGAACTGGTAAATGCTCCATCCCTGGCAGTGTTCAAGGCCAGGCTGGATGGAATCTTGGATGACATGGTTTAGTATGAGGTGTCCCTGTCCATGGCAGGGGGGTTGGAACTAGATGATCTTAAGTCTTTTCCAACCCTAACCATTCTGTGATTCTGTGATTTTTTTGGAGTTTGGTTCCTCTACCAGGAGTCCCAAGTTTCACCGTACTGTCTCCATGTGCTTCCAATTACCACTGCTGGTGAGAAATTCAGGTTTCTCTGGTTCAGATAAGCCATGCTTGGGTCTCATTTTGTGTTTCTCCTTTGCAGTGTGCCTTCAAGACAGTGTGCTGGCCTTCTGGAAACATGGCATGCAGGGCAAAAGCTTTAAGTCAGATGAAGTAAGTAATCTCCCAGTCTCTCCAGGTTTAATTTCTTTCTGTTCCTGACTTAGTACTTGATGCTTTGGCCCCTCTAGCTGCTTCCTTAGTGATAACGCTTGTGCTCCATGTTGTCATTGCTTCAGGTTGCTGGTTGCTTCCTCTGACTTTGCCTACATACATTGCTTTTTTGGTAAAGCACACACACACAGGCTTTAGCCAGCTCTGTTTCCAGGAATATAAGGCAGAGACTGAGACCAATAAATTTCATTTTGCCAGTGAAATGGACCTAACTGTCTCAATTTTTTTACAGGTTACCCAAGAGATATCTGATGAAACAAGGGTTTTCCACTTACTGGGATCAGACAGGTAATCACCTTGAAGTAACATAGAAGTTTTATCTGAAGCAGCTTTCTAGCTTCCACCTGGAACTGGCTGCTAGCTCAACACAGACCTGTCTGTAAGCAGTACTGGGGGAGGCAGTAATACTGTTTCAGCCTGCAGTAGCCAAAAATCTAATTGGTGATTGTGTCTGCATTCAAAATGATTACTGTGTGACCTCTGGTTTCCACTGCAGAGATAGACGTGTGAACACAAACACGAGCTTACAGAGATACAGTGTGAGGAGATAAGCGACAGGGAGAGATGAGAGCTAGCTTTGGCTCGTAGTGAGCAGGAAAAGCCCCCTTCTGGCTTAGGTTTTCCTGATGAATTGGTGAATTATCTTGGCAGTTAGTTACTTTAAAATAATCTTAACTGCTCTGGACCTTGAGGTCTGGAAATAGCACAGCAAGCTAGATCACATGCAGGTGCTAGTGCACAGTGGCCTAAATGCACTCCATTACCCATAACATCCAGATGATTCCTTTCAGCTACAGAAGCTGGGAAGAGGTGCAGCCATCTGCAGGTTTTTTTTACCTGTGGTTTCTCAGACAGCCAGAGTGCTAAATGTGAAAGTAGATGGTAATGAGTAAAGAAATCAGTTCTAATCCCTGATCTGCTCCCTCATTTGGTCTTTGGGACTCCTGGCTGTGACTTGCTTTCTGTAACTAATCCATAATTTTGTGTACTTAACATTTTTTGATCCCCAGGTTGAAGTCCTTGTGCTGTATGCAGTTTTGCAGACAAACCCTTCTACTCTGATAGCACTGAACTGCAAAACCCTTTGTTTGATAACTTTTCCATCTCTGTACAAATGGAGCAGGAGTTTCACTGCTATTCAGGTGAACCAGATGTGGTGGCACCTTTTTGGCTTGGATCATTTTAGAACTATCCAGTTGCAGAAGTGAAGATCAGGGACAGAAGCTGTTAGAGAGAGCATTATCTTTGAGGACAGGTTTTCCAGAGAAGCCTACAGGAACATGATCTAGCAGGAGAAAGGCTGAGTTGGGGTTGAGTGCTTCTTATGAACCCATTGGCTGATAAGTATTTAGAAGAGAGGAAAACTGTTTACAGTAGTGGCTGATGCTTATCACAAGGTGTAGGATATTATGGGCTGTAGATGATAGGAGGGTTGTGTCTCCTCACAACACTGGATCTGAGAGGACGTCCCAACAGAAGAAGAGGACATAACTTATCTGAAGGTGGAGGATGTCAGTTTAGAAAAAGTTTGTAACACATTGTGTGTACGTGTAGTTGAGAGGGGCAGATTCTGGTTCAAGAAGCTTTTTCTAGTCCTCTGTTCCTTGTTTATTCCACTTTACTGTTTTTATCAGAAGTGATGCTGGAAAATGAGGTAACTGATTTAAAAAATAAAGTACCCACAATATTTAGGTGAACCTATATCCCTCCAATCTGTAGAAACCTCTGAGCAACGAGTTTATTCCTCCTCAGTAGTAACACCATGAGCTTTGTATTTTGTTACTAACAGGTTTGGATTCTGTTTGTGTTTCCTTACAGAGTGGTAGTGTTAGAAAGCAGGCCCACAGAAAATCCGACTGCACACAGCAATCTCTACATCTTGGCTGGACATGAAAACAGTTACTAAGCAACGGTAACCTAACGCAAATAACAGAGTGAATTTGCCACACGAGGAGCGAAGAAGCATTAGGAAAGTTAATACAAACTGGACTGTGACTTTCTTTTCTTGATACTTAAATGATGTTGGTTTAGGGTGGAAATCAATACATTTTTGCAGCTGGGAGCAGCTGGTTCTGTCTTTTTGCCACTGTGTGGTTGGTTATATTGAGTTTGCTTAATAAAAGCTATGAGATAGATAGCCCTTTACTCATTAGTTACAGGGAAACAGAGCCTTTAAAAAAGTGTTATGCAGTAAAGGTGCCATAAACTGTTAAATATTTTACTTCCCTTGGATTTTCCTTATGTTCTGTAGATACAGTGCTGGCTGTTTCCCTGTTTTATACTGAGTCTTATTCTTAATAAAACAGATTTGTGTAGGAAGTGAAAGTATCTGCAAAGCTTTTTGGTTTTAAATCTGCCATTCAGTATGGCTTTGTATAATAGATTATTTAATCCTTATTTATTAATCTGCTGCTAGAATGGTGTAATGTGTCTAACTCTTAGCAAAGGAAGGTTGCAGAGCAGCTTACAATTATTTTTTTTTTTACAATTGTATAAAGATTTGATTTTTTTTCTTGTAGGGATGTAGTGCATTACTGAGGGGAATGTTACAATGTCGGTTGATCTTGTAAAAATGCAGTTTTGTACAACAGAATATTTTGTATTGATTTTTTTTTGCCTGCAGATTGCCATAAAAGGGATTTTCTTATTTACTAGCTGTAGGGTATGTGTACACAAAATAGAATATTGATATCAGACTTGTTGCTACTGGGTGGGTGTGTTCAGGATACATATGTGTGTGTGTGTGCATGTGTGTTAAGTTGACTGGCAGTGTGTATTTTTTTTATATATATATATTTATATATATATAAAAATGTACAAAATATATATGCTTTATTTTCATAAATTAGGGATAAGCCTTGTGACATGAAAGGAAAACTGTACCTGGTTATCATCCTTAATGAATGAAAGTATCATGTATCAAACTGCCCATGACGTATAGTTTATTTATGCTATTCCAGAGGGGAGCCTATAGGGATAACTGAGCTTACGAGCTTCTTTTTTTGTACAGCATCCAAATGTTGTCAGTCAGAGGGTCATTTAGAAATGGTTATTTCCCCAGCTGTGTAGTATAAATAAATATGATAAGAACCAGTATTCTATATTCAAGCTTTTCATCACTTTTTCCCCTTCCCTATTTGTCACCTGTGTTTTTCTTTCTCTCTTCATTTCTCCATTCAACAGTCACATTGGTTCCTTTTGTCTTCCTTGTTAATTACAATTCTCGAGGTACCATTAAATGGAAATACAGACTGACTACAGGATAGCATCTGGTTTTACTACCTCACATTAACCTGCTAGCTTTGATGTAGGTAAACATGGTCCGTAGGCAGATACAGCAGCAGTTCATAATTTGAACTGAGGGGTTTTTAAATTAAATCTGACAGCGTACTGCTGCCTTAGGAAAGACAGGTTAGAAGCTTCACCCGTCATTGTAATAAAGCAGTAAAGGTGTGTTACAGCAGCTTGACCTGTCTGGAGGCTCTGCTGACACAGCAGAGCCAGAGGTGTTTTGATCTTTTAACTCACAACCTGAGGAATGGGGTTCTGGGTTGTCTGCTGAAGCATCAGACTATGTGATTCATAATTTAACATTGACGGAATTAACTCAGCACACATGATGACTTAGTAATGTCTTTTTGTTACTAGGTACAGCTGGAGTTTTGTGTTGTTCTGAGGGTCTGGGAGGGAAAAAATACCTGCACACAATTTAGCATTTTATCCACTTAGCATTGTCATTCAAAACTAATTCTTGTTATTTACTTGGTATTGAAATCAAGTCAAGCTTTTCAGTTCTTGAAACAGCAAGCAAAGTTTAATAAATAGTGAGCGGAGAGATAAAAAATAGTCCACAAACAATGTATTAAAGATGTTTTAAGTGGTCAGGTGTAGTTGGATCAGCAGTATTAAAAGCAGGCCATGCAATTATTGTGTTTTAAAGAACATGAGTTCTTTAGTACCGAAGTTACTTCTCCATAGGTAACAGTTGATTGATGATTAACCCTCAAATGGTATAACTTCTAGTCTACAAAGACCTAAAAAAAAAAGAGAAAGTGAAGCACCAGGTGTAGATGTAGAGCAAGCGCTTTCACTTAATTTACCTCATTCACTGCAGAAGGTAATTTTGGCTTCATTTTTGAAAACACATAAAAATGATCTCTAAAAGACTAGAAAAAACTGTAAATAAAATACAAATATTTATGGGGAATAACTGGAGTAAATAACTATTAGGTCATGACATTGTCATGCAAAAATAATGAACTGAAAGTTTTTTTCTTTGAATGACAAGAATGGTGATTTGCTGAAGCATAAAAAATGAATCCAGGAAAGTTCTTGTTTAAGCAAACCTCCTCTTTTAGCTGTTGAAGTGTTCGTAATGGCATATTCTGAAATGCTTTGTCTGATTTTTACAGACAGTGGCATTTTTGGCATGATCTGCAAGATACTGTTTCCCAGTGTAAAACCTCAATTCTTACTCTTAGAGGGATATAGCACAACAGATTTGCATGTTCCATAGCTGAACCACCCAGTCTCAGAGACTCCGACTAGTGTAATTTGTATTTGTTAGACCGTTTTATGTTAGTCTGGTATTGTCTGTATCTTTGTTTTTTCTAACATTTCAACCAGGGTTGAAGAAGCCTAGTGTGTGGGTTTGGAGTTTATAAAGCAAAAGCTAGCTCAACCCCTCATCACTCTTTCGACAGCTATTAAAGTATTAATTATTTGGTGCACAAGGTTTATGTCTTCAACTTGAAAGCCTTAAAACAGTATCCCAGTGCTCTTTGAAGTGCAGACAGTATTTGAAGAGCAGCCTGTAGATTAGTCTTTTCCTATTTCCTAACCAAATTCATTGTGGCTGAAAAATACGACTGTTAATTGTGATGACATCTCTTTAAAAGATGACAGGTACAACGCATCAGTGAGCCACTGTATCTTGGAATAAAAAGGACAAGACTGGGAGACTTCTGAAATGTACTTTTTACCTTGTTTAGCCATTAGATTGTAACTGAAACCCTAACTGCACTCATTCCAGTTTGTATAACTAGGCTTTGTTCTACATAAATTCCTGTTGCGGTTCATTTCAGTCTATGCCAAATAAACTCTTGCTTTGATACCTAAATGCAGTGTGGTAGACTTGCTGGGAACAATACCTTATCAGACATATCTCGAATTCAACTGGGCTCCAGATTTTATGGCAGTGGGAAGGGCGTGATCAGGGGCTGAACACTCTTCTCAATCCTGCTGTGGTGCCGAAACCCGGGAACCGCCTGGACAGGTGAACAGCGGCCGGAGTGGCTGGACTAGCCCGGTGGGGAGGACGCTCCTGGAGCAACAAGGACGATGGAAGCCCTTGTGAAGGTCGTATCTCAGTTACATAAGCAGTGGGGTATTGATTGTAAACAGAAAGATTTTACTCTCGCAGTTGTGAGGCTTTTACAAACTGGGGTCATTGACCAGCCAGTGGATGTTCTCCACCCTGAGGTGTAGGATAAATGCACTGAAGTGTTAGCCGAGGAGACGATGTCCTCGGGCTGTGGGGAAAACCGTAAGTCGTGGGGGAAAGCCGTACAGGCCCTGCAGAAGGCCTTACAAGAGCAGGAGACCGGGAAGGCAGCAGAGAACTGTTTGTGGGCTACCCCGAAATTAGGAGTCGGGGCAGCTACACAGACTCTGCACGCCACAGACGGTGACGGCTCTGCTGAGCCTAAAGATACGCGGGAAGGCGACACACCTCCCCAATCCCTGAATCCCGACCCGTTTACGGAGGGACAGGAACGAGCAAAATCCTTCTGGGATGGGTTAGTCGAGGAGGCCAGGGGCGCCGCGGAAAAGGCGGAGTCCGAGGCAACTGGGATTAGATCACCGCCCTATGCGTCCCAAAATGACGCCGAGCGGAGAGAACGGCGGGGCGAAGATGTACCCGGCGGGAAGGAGGAGGAAGTGCTAGAATTAACAAGAGCACGTAAACGGGGGGGGAGGAGAATGAGAAGGAGAACCGGAAAGGGGAGGGGAGCGTGAGGGGCGGAGAGCCAATCAGAGCACCCTGCCGAGCGGAAGGCGGGGCGAGTTAAGAGGGAGGGAACGGCCCGCCCGCAAGGGGGGTGGGCGGGGCCGGAGCCCAACGAAAAGGCACTGGAACCCGGAAGTAGCCAGTCGAGTTCCGACTCCGGGTCAGACAGTAGCTGGGTCGTGTGGTTCGTAACTGATTCAAACTCAGAGGAGGAGGGGATGGGGGTAGACAGAATCAAAAGTCAAAATATCCCCATCCAAAGCAATGAGGAGCCGCGAAGGGGACAAATCCCTCTCACGGATTGGAGGAAAATAAAGATGGCGTGTGCCGATTGGGCTCCATCGGCCGGAGAAGCTATTTACACAGCCTCTAGAGTTATTGCTAAACCGTCACCATGGTCCACAGTAAAGCAAAATGAAAGTGAGAGCTTTACAGAATTTGTGGATAGTCTCCAGGCAGCGGTCGACTCCTCGATCTTGCCTGTGGAAGCGAAGGGCCCCGTTGTCGCAGATTGCTTACGTCAGCAGTGTAATTCGACAACCAAAGAAATCCTGAAATCTAAATTAGAGGTGTTGGCAAAACCAGAAGGTTTTCCCAAAGCCATTCACCCGGGAGCCCCCCTTCCTGGTTTTGTGGTTTCCCGGGGCGGTTCCTCCCCCGCTCTCCTCAGCGTCCCGGCGCCTGACACCTCCCACAAAGCGTCGCAGGGGGGCTCCCCCGCTCCCTCAGGGCCCGCCCCTGCCACAGCGGTGGCGGAGAGCGGACGGGGCAGCTGCCCGCGCAGCGGGGGTAACGGCTGGCGCGGGGGTGGCTGTTGGGCGTACAGAGGCGAGGGAGCGGCGGGAGAGCGCCGGCTTCGCAACATGGAGCGGTACGAGAAGCTGAGCAAGGTCGGGGAGGGCTCCTACGGCGTCGTCTTCAAGTGCCGCAACAAGGACACCGGTCAGATCGTGGCCATCAAGAAGTTCCTTGAGTCCGAGGAGGACCCAGTGATCAGGAAGATCGCCCTGCGGGAGATCCGCATACTGAAGGTGGGCGGCAGGCGGGCGCCCGGCGCCGGTGGCTCTGCGAGCCCCCCGCGTCATCCGCCGCCCCGGGGACGGCTGCGGAGGGTGGGCTCCGCCGCGAACGGCACTGCTCCCGGTGTGGCGGCGGTGGACTGTTCCCCGCCATCGCGGCCGGGGGGCCTGGGCGTCCCTGAGGAGCCGTGAGGGTGCTGCCCGGGAGCGGGTGTGAGGGAGGAGGCTCGAGGCATCGTGAGAAGGACCATGAGAGCAGCCATAAAGAGACGGGGCGTCGTAAGGGGTGAAGCGAGGAGGCGGGATGTGAGGGAGCAGTACGTCAAGTGCCCAAGTCTGTCCGTTTATCTGCTAGAAAGCCAGTGCCGGTGAGAGTCTGACCGTTGTGGCCAGCGATGGACACGCGTCGGGACGGAGGTGATCCTCCGCAGCCCAGGCTGTCACACATCAGAGAGAATGCGTGCAGGTGGGAGCTGGGACACTGCAGAGGGAGAGTTGCCGGCCGATCTCTGCGCGGGTGCAGGAGCACCAGCAAAGTCATCACTGCCCTCTTGACCCGGGCTTTGGCCCCCATGCAGGCAGCGATGTCCTGACCGGTACAGGCACAGCTCTGCCCTCAGTGCGTTGTCGGCACCATGTGTGACAGCCTGGCCAGCAGCAGGCCTTTCTGTTTCTGGGAGGTTTCCCCCGGAGACGGGGACTGTTGGAGCTCTGGTAAAGTATGTGAACAAAAAGTGATCCCGGGTAGTGTTACCAGTGAGAGAGCCAATCTCGTTTTAAAATGTAAATTTATAAATTTCTTAATTTATTAAATAGAGCAAGCAATAGATAAAAAAACAGAGCTCGGTGCACCAGGGAGCCCCCGCTCTGCCAAAGACGTGCATGAAGGGTCTTTGGGAGGCTGTCCTTTATATTTCTCAGTTCAAGGCTTCAGCCAATCTCGCTGCTTCTTTTCGCTTGGATGCTGACATGGCTCTTTTCCATTGCCTCCCTTTGGTGCTGGGGTCTCATCATCGAGAAGTTTCCAGAAGTTTCCAGAGATTTCGAGAAACACCCGTTACCAGCCTCATCCCAACCTCCATCCCTTATATGGTACATATAGCAAGATAAAACTTCAAACTACCTAATCCCCCCTTAAAGCAGCAACATCGGGGGAAGTCTGCGGCCGCTCTTCAAGGGGCTGCGCCTCAGTGTCATTTTTCCCTGCCCCTTTCTTTTCCCTCTCATAATCTTATGTAATAATACAACTGACTTCCCTTTATAACTCACGAAGTACAATAGTTATGAAAAAGGAATATGTTTCCAGTTACAGAGAGTTTCTTAGAGTGTAGCAAGCAATATTTCCCTTTAAACCTTTTGATGAACAAACCCCACACATTACAGGTAGCATGAGGTGGGGGACAGCCATGGGGTGCAGCTCTCCTAGTTCTTTATAAATCTGCCCCAGCTCCTCCTTATAACACCCTTCCTCAGCCCCTGGTTGTGGGTGATCCAGTGTCAGACCCTGACATGCAGACAATTATCCAGCCATGTACTGAATGGCAGGGGCTCTGTAGGCTCAGAGTTTTTCACCTCACATGGAAGCAGCCGTAGAACCTGCACCTGTGAAGCATGGCAGCACCTTGTCTTGGCTAATCATTTCCTGACTTTTCTCTGAGGACTTACCCTCAATAGAAATGAGTTACTTATTCAGCCTCTGTGTTTATTTTTCTGGTAAAATAAAAGCATGAGAACATTTGCAGTAAGTTAGAGCCAAGGTCCATCAAGCATGCAGAAATGAGGAGAAACCTGGGAGAAAGAGGGAGAGGATGGGGTAAGATTTCCTTTCATAGACCTATTTTCAGGTGACGTTTCTAGATCCAGAGGCTGTACCCATTGCTTCATGCTTATCAGACATTCATAGACTGGAGTTTGTTCCATCTCATTTTGAACTGGTGTATTCATTTGGTCTTCATGGTTTCCTGAGGCAGTGAGTGCCACAACTTTAGGAATATCTTGTGAAAAAATATATTTGTTATAAACTTGCTGATGGCCCATAGTATCCTCAGTTGTGTATTCCAAGAAATGGAGAGTTGTTCCCTTTTCTCCAGGGTACTCTACACCTTCATCATCTCTCCATCTCCAGCTTTCTCTTTTCCATGCAGAAGAGCCAGAGCTTTAAAACACTGATTAAAGAACCATATTGGCAGCATGTTGGTTTATTATACATTCTAAAATAATGGCTTCCAGTAGGATTCCTTTTTACAAGAAAAGTGGCATTCAGATTAGACACAGTGCAGGAGACAGTCAATGATTTAGGATTTTGGAGTTAACAAAACCTGACAGAAATCCACAGGGAAATATGTTCCATTTTATTTAGAATTTCTTTCCCAGAATTCATAATTCCTTGATCTCTGATTTTTGCACAGTGTTCCCGGACTTCACTGCCTGTTGGTATTTGCATAGCATCAGTTGATACTCATTGCATTCAGTGTTCCCTTCCATTGAGTTAGCTTCACTGGCTTCCTGGGAACCAATTAGCTTTCACATTTGCAATTAAACACAAGATTTCAACAGGTTACAATATTTCTTGTATTTCTTTTCCCAAAATCTCTTTGTGCTTGACTTTTATAGAACATTTATGTATAAACAAGTGGTATAAATATTATTGCTAAAGGAATATGAAGACCTGATTCTTTACTCACTACAAAAAGAGGCAAAATAAGCCTGGGTGGCAACCTAGAAGAGCTGTCATCCAGGAAAAAAAGCATATTTATTTTTCAGTTGGATTTTGGGAAGAAGCAGTCTGTGTTTTTCTCCCATCGGAAGCAAAGAGATGACAGGTAGCTTTATTAAACAAGTCTGGAGATGCATTAAGATGTAAATTAGATTAAAGATCGAAAAAGGAAAATAATTGCAGAAGTCGCTTTTAATGCAGATGAGAAGTGCATCTTCCTTCAGGGTCCAAAGCTGATACTGCTGCCATGGCAGGATCAGTGTCGGGGCACTGTTGATTTTAACAAGTGCAGACCTGCTTGAGTAGCTTTTCAACTTTTCCTCTGTAAATAGTAACAGTTTGTTTGTTTGTTTGTTGAGGTATTTCCTGGCTTAGGCAACAAGTGTTTGTCAAGATGTAGAGAGACTGTGTTTCATCAGCAAAATTGTAAGGCCTTATAAATTATTATTCTACATGGCAAACACCTTATAGATAAAGGGCTTTTGATGGGCGGGAGCCATAGGAGGTAGGGTGGGAGAGTGAGGTGGTATACAGGATCTTGAAGCACCCTGCGTGATCCTGATTCCACAGGAAAGGCCAGAAATATGTGCAAACAGCAAGTCTGTGTGTTACCCCATCACTGCTGCTGTTTCTAGAAGAGTGTTGTCTCCCCAGGTTTCACATAAAGGCTGACAGTTTTTAGATTTGGCGTTGCAAAGAAGATGAGAGAAAAATGCAATGCAAAGCTGTGTGCATATAGAAAATAGAAAATAATCCCTATTATCCTAGCATGGGAGAATTTATAACTTTTTGGGGAAAGCCCATGTCAGACATCTGACCTATTTCTGGAAGGTAACATGTGGTCTTGTCACCCAAGCAGGTGCTCATCCTAGTGCTGCCAGCGATCAGCCACTAGCAGATTTGGTAGCCTTAGAAACTGCTCTCTGAAACACCATTCTACCTGACAGGGGCGTTGTTAGAGTAGCAGTGGCCTTGTGTGCATGCCTGCCTGCAGAAGAGGTGCTGGCCCAGCCCAGTGAACCCAAGTGCCTGGAGAGCCCGTGTGCTTCCAAGTCCAGGCTTACTCTCTCCAGAAACCCCACTCCATGCACATGTCCTGATAGCCAGCACAGACATACTCCCAGGCACAGCATGTTTTGAAGCCTGACCTGTACAACCAGCCTGTAACTGCCAGAGGTTTTCCAGAGATCTCAATCTATTACTGTTGATTTAACTTTTTTCTTGCTGTACTATCCTCACCTCTCTCTGAAAGTGGAATATAAGCACTGCAGAGGTTATCTCCTCTGTCTCCCTCCTGCTGGCAAGCTTTGCTGTGCCCAGGAGTTTGTCCATGCTGGCAGGCAGATCTGCTGAGGGTAACAGAGGAATCAGGTGCCTGTTACCCAGAATAGTTGATGGAGGCCCAGCTTGCTCTCAGATATCTCTGATCAGTTATCGCTGATCTGAGAACATAATATGCCAACATGCTGAATGCATGGGAAAGGAAGGCTCTGCATTATGCAGGGTATCAGAAGCTGCTGGTCTGGGCATTCAGAGCCACAGCAGCATTCTAACTTCTGTGGGGGAGTCTGAACTTGTAGACTGGGCTTTCTCTAATGTGCACGTGGCAAGTAGGTACTTTGTTCTATGTGAATATGCTTAACAGGATAGGTAGCATGGCATGCACACAATTCCTGGGAGAATTGCTGTCATTGCTAGAATTTTCAGCAGGCTTGCAGGCTGTTCTCTGTTCATCTTTTTCGAAGTGAATAAGGAAGTGGTAAGAATGGAGATACTGCTAGGTAGATAGGAAGTTTGAGAAGTGTTAAAAGCCTCCTCCCTTGTGGCTTAGCAGCCTTGCCATAGGAACTGAGGGTGTGCAGAGAAGTCCATCCGTTATGTGAGGAAACATGGTCAGGATGGAGAAGGTTACACTGAAGGTCAGCCCCTGCTGACACTGTTGGGTACCTTGTGCTAGAGAGGGAAGGCACTCAGTGTAAAAATAGCATGGAGGACTGAAGAAGTACTCAGAAGGTCTTGGTTGTAATCTAGATTTGATCCAGATGGGTGTGAAGGTCTTTGATCTTGGCAGATGGTTTACACAGTGTGGGCAGAATTGAAGGAACAAGCAACATATGTAGTAAGAGATGCTGTTTAGACAGACCAACTATTTGCTACTGGCTTGCAGGACTGGAATAGCCACCTGCACACTATCACTACACTACTGTGTTGTTGGCATATGGACTCAGTGTAGTTTGGGTTCAGTAGGATGTCCCCCAGAGGCAGTGAGCTCCCTGAAAGGTCTCTCTTTTCAAGAGGCTTTTATAGTGACATGTTTGGATAAAATTACATTTTGCAAGGGGTCCCACTGAAATAGCCCCTGCCATGTCTCTCCTGTCGTGACAGACTGGCAATGAGGTATGATGGGGTTTTCTACTTACCTGCTCTTTTACTCGAGCTCACTGGCTAACCTCAGGATTCAAGCTGTGGATTTCAGAGCAACTTGGGGTTAACTGGGTGCTTCTCCAAACAGCTGCATTCCTCAGTTGGGACCCCTTACAGTTTTTCTCTAGTCTTGACTCTCCTCTTCCTTTCATTCCGCAGGCTTTCCCAGATGGCTCACAGGCACATCAGAAGGTGGCATTAGGGTAACTCCTAGGCAATGCCCTTTCCAGCCTTCTTGCTTGGAAACGTGTTTGTTCTAAGCCTTGGTCAGGCAAAGCACTGGTGGATACAGTTCCCTGCAAGCAGAGGGGATGGTTCCATGAGTCATCAGAAAAGAAATAGCATTCCTCAGCTGGATCTGGCTTTTCTTTGTTTTCTTTTCCAAGCACTGTGTTGTGCCCCTTGATTCAAGCCCTCTCCCAGCACTCCCTCAGAATGTGGGTAAAAGAACAGGAAATGAGAAGCTTCAGTAATGTCCACCCTCACCTCTTGCAAGGTGTGTTTGAACAAGCATGCTGTGCTCAGGCTCTGTGTGTGGGAAGAAGCTGCCTCAGCTCCCCACTAGAGGAAGCCTTGGTATGAGCACATGAAGAGGATTAAAAGGGAGAGGAGGGAGCAGCAATAAAAATTCTCCAAATTAACCTGCCCAGATTCTGACAATAAGCAGGTGAAGCTGAGCCCACCTGCTTTACTTACACTTACTAGAGGAGCTCTTGTTTTCTCCTAAACTTACGTTAGCCTGCTACAGGCTCTTAGTGTGTGATTTCACAAGCTGTTCTCCAGGGAGAGCTGCTCTTCATTGTGGTGCAGTTGGAGACTGGATATATCCGATGAAAGGCGCTGCTGGAATAGCTGTGGGCACCATGATGAATTCTGTATCTATGAGTATCTTTTCTAAGAGGCACTCACTGAAGCCAAACTAGCTTGTTACCCACAGTCAGTTCCTAAAATAACTACACCACAGGCTGAGCTATAGCTGAGGTGCTTCTTCATGTTGTCTTATGCTTGCATGAAAGGTTTCAGCTTAAGAAATTGAGACCCTTGGGGGCAAAAGCACTGTCCCACCTCTTTACCCCATTCCCCTGTGCAGTAACTAACCACTCCATCCACTGTGTGTTACAGCAACTGAAACACCCCAATCTGGTGAACCTGCTGGAAGTGTTCAAGAGGAAACGCAGGCTGCATCTGGTCTTCGAATACTGCGACCACACAGTTCTCCATGAGCTGGACAAGCACCCCCAGGGGTGAGTGGCCCGTTTCTCACTGGGAACTTTGAACAAAGGATTAAGGGGTGTCTGTGGTGTTGCTGCTCTGCAGAGTTTTCAGAGGAATTTCATTAAGTACAGGAGAGGTTTCCCAGCCCAGTGCCCAGGAATTGCTTTGTTCCTGTGGTATAGCAATGATCTCCAAAAGAATTGTGTATGAGCCTCTGTCTGCTGCTCACCAAGGAGACTGGAGCATTGAGCCTGAGCAGTTGGGTGCTCTTTGGCTGGCTTGGCAGCAGCAAACCCAAATAGCTTGGGAGCATCACATGTCTCACTGCAAAGAGGTTAGGGTTGATGTGGGAGGTGGGCATTTCCCCTAGTGTGTTGCACGTCCCTGTGGGCTGTGGGCACAGGGGCAGTGTCACTGAGCACCCAAATACACAAGTCTGTAGCAATGTCACTGATGATCTGTATGACAGACCAGTGACTTCTAGTGATGCTGCAGTGGTAAGGAGTATGTGTTGGTGGCAGGAGTTACCAGAAGCTGTGCCTGCAGCTCTCTGCACAGCCTCAGTGGACTCCCTGGTCAAATACCCTCTTCTTTAACAGGTGCTTGCACACAGTGTGAGCTACATAGGCAGAAGGAACATTCTCCAGGACAGGGTTTGTTCTTTTCACACATTATAAATGACACTCCTACTTAATACATTGTCCCTAATTATTCATAGTGACTTGGTGCTGTGGAAATGCTAAGCAGAAGTTCATAAATCATTTTACAGGCCTGGAGCTAAATGAATTGCCTGCAGGAGACTAACTGGAGGTTGAGTAAACAGAGCCTGTTACTCTTTCTTCCTTATGGGGAGCTCTAGAAGGAGAATGGAGCACACTGATAGCAAATGTCTTTGTGAGCTGGTGAGCAGCTTTCATCACAGTTCGAACCTGTTCACCTGGAATCTGAAGAGAGGGTGGATAACCAACCCTCTTTGAAGAAAATACTTCATGTTTACTTTCTGTTCATCAGAACAACTCCAGTGTGAATGAACATGTAACACCTGGTTGCATACTTTGCTTTTGATCTTTGCTGTGGCAGATGGTCAAGTGTTTTGTGGTCAGGATTAAGATAGGTGGGCACAGACCTCTTTGCATCATGTTCCCAGGTCATTTGACCAACTTCATCCCCTTGTCAGGCTGTCAACACACTACTCTCAGGGTGCTCTAGGATGTTTCTGCAAGGAAACTCCAACATTGCAGCAGCACTGTCAGAGCAAGACCTTCAGCGCTGTCAGCAGAAGGTGCCTTAAAGATAAAGCCAGAATTCCTGCGTATTCTTCTGGATTTTTTGTTTTGTTTTGTTTTTAATTTGTGATGAATTGGAAGCTTTTCAGCATTAAAGACATGAAATAAAATGGTATTTGAGTTTGGAAGTGCCAAGATTGTCGCTTCTTCCTTTCCTGAGGTTGTTAAAGACGCTTACAGGCAGACAAGGAAGTTTAAGAACTGTTGCACAGTAATTGAAAGAGGAGAGGAGGCTGGATCTTTCACAAGAGTTTTCTTTCTCTGAAGTGTTTGCCAGCTGCTGGAGGGAGGGAGAGGAGATACAAACAGAAGTAGAGCTTTATGCTCTTGTAGGAACATCCTTCCCCATCCCATTTTGGTCACTTCTCCACTCTGGACAATCAGTGACATGACAGCACTGCAAGTCACGCATTTATATGCCAGATATTCACCTCTCCACTCTGGACAATCAGTGAGATGACAGGATTGCAAGTCATGTATTTATATCCCGGATATTCCACCACTTCCAACTCTGAGCAGCTGCAGAGGCAGAAATGCTTGCTGGTGTTTTGGGATTGCCAGGAAGCGTGGCTGCTAAGCACAGCCACAAGGCAGGATTTGACACGGACTTTCATGCGCTCATGTGTGGTCATCAGCTGGCAGGCTTCATGCTGGCTGTGATTGAGTGGTACCAGATGTGCTGACGTGCTCTTACCTGACATAAATCCTTCTATCTTGTTGCACTGACTAGATTTGGAAGTGGTATTGACATTCCTTTTGATGCTTCTGTGATGCTTGAAGAGCAGTCTCACAGGAGAGCATTGCTTTGTGCAGGGATGCACCTCAGCCTCAGCTCTGAAACCTGGTAAAAGGTACAAACAGGCTTCACCACCAGCCGCCCAGCATGACAGGTTCCCTGCACTGGAAGATCTACAAACTGAGGGTTATTACATGTTTCTTGTAACTTACTTATAGCAATAAAATGTGCCTAGTGTTTTTTCTCTTAAGTTTTCTGACCTGATCCTGATGGTTTTATTCACAGAATCCTGTGCAGTTAGCACTCAAAAGGCCTATTCCTCTTTTTTCCTTCAATAGTGAAGTTTATAATGGCCAAAATAAAAATGTGCTTTTTTAAAAACAGGGTGCCGGAACATCTAGTGAAGAGCATAATCTGGCAGACCCTCCAAGCTGTGAACTTCTGCCATAAACACAATGTAAGTCCCCTAAACAGCACTACTGATTGCTGTAATGTGGCCTTGGAGGAATGGAGATTCTGTTGCCATTTTCCTGATGACATGGTTTTCATGGAATAAAGTCAGGTGAAATTTCCTGTTTTCAACAAGAAATATATATCTGAAATCATAGAATAGTTAGGGTTGGAAAGGACCTTAAGATCATCAACTTCCAATCCCCCCTGCCATGGGCAGGGATACCTCGCACTAAACCATATTACCCAAGGCCTCGTCCAACCTGGCCTTGAACACTGCCAGGGATGGAGCATTCACAACCTCCCTGCACAACCTATTCCAGTGCCTCACCACCCTAACAGGAAAGAATTTCCTCCTTATATCCAATCTAAACTTCCCCTGTTTAAGTTTTAACCCATTACCCCTTGTCCTACCACTACAGTCCCTAATGAAGAGTCCATCCCCAGCATCCCTATAGGCCCCCTTCAGATACTGGAAGGCTGCTATGAGGTCTCCACGCAGCCTTCTCTTCTCCAGGCTGAACAGCCCCAACTTTCTCAGCCGATCTTCATACGGGAGGTGCTCCAGTCCCCTGATCATTCTCGTGGCCCTCCTCTGGACTTGTTCCAACAGATCCATGTCCTTTTTATGTTGAGGACACCAGAACTGCACACAATACTCCAAGTGAGGTCTCACGAGAGCAGAATAGAGGGGCAGGATCACCTCCTTCGACCTGCTGGTCACACTCTTCTCTGCCCAGCCTGTAGCTGTGTCTGGGATTGCTCCGACCCAGGTGTAGGACCTTGCACTTGGCATGGTTAAACTTCATGAGGTTGGCATCAGCCCACCTCACAAGCGTGTCAAGGTCCCTCTGGATGGCATTCCTTCCCTCCAGCATATCAACCGAACCACACAGCTTGGTGTCATCGGCAAACTTGCTGAGGGCGCACTCAATACCACTGTCCATGTCAGTGACGAAGATGTTAAACAAGACCGGTGTATACCCGCAACAGCTGCATTCCCTATCACGCAGGTCCCTTGGGTTTGCTGCCAAGGAATGATTTGCACTAATGACCTTGAATAAGCTTCCAGGCTGAGCAGGCATGTCCCTTTGTGTTCCCTGTGCCACTGACATTTAGAAATCTGGCTTAACATCCCATTAGCTGAGACCTGAGCAAAGTTCTGCTGATTTCACACAAATCCCTTCTGTTGATAGTCATAGGTATTGAATCATGACACCAGCTAAAAAAGTTACAAATATTAGATTCAATAAACAAGTTTTACAACCTGTCTTCTGCTTTCCGGAGGGAGGTGAGTGTTCTATGAGTGACAGATACTTCGTAGAAAGCAAGAGGGATTCTTTAAGAAGCAGAGAAAGAAAGGAGATTTTTGTAGAAGTTCTGTAGGCAAACTTAGTTATAATTGTCTTTGGTTTTGTTTGTTTTCCAATGTGTGAAATTGAAGAGTCAAGCAGATCAGTCTGGAATGGGTGTTTTGTCTTTGCTGGGAGAATTATGTCCAGTTGAACCACAGGAACTTGGCCATAGGTCTGTCTTGCTTCCAAGATTTGTTGTTTTGCTTCTTATTTCTATTCTCCCACTCAGTCTGAAAGATTTAATGGAGTTTTAAAGCAGAAGGAACAATTAGATGCTACAGTCTGACCAGCTGTAGATCACAGGTAATGAAGTTTTATGCAGCTGCCCTTTCTGGAACTCCATGACACCAATTTAACATGCAGAATTTCAGTCCTCAGGAGGAGACGCAGTAATCTACCAGCTTAGCTAGGAAAAGTCTGATGTGTTTGAGCTGAGGTGATGGTAGGGGAGGGACAACATGAGCTAGACCCTGGTGATTTCAGCAGAGAACACCTTTTGTAAACTGGCAGAAGAAATTAAGGTTGCTACTGGTTTGATCAGTAGAAACTCTTTCCCAAGCCCGAATTTAGTTGTTGTGAACCTTCAGCAAGCAAGGTCACCTCCCAGGAATCACAGAATTGCTGATGTTGGAAGGACCTCTGGAGATCATCTCATCCACATCCCCTTCTCAAGCTGGGCAGTCAGTACAGGCTGCTCAGATATTTTTCCAGTCAGGGTTCAAGTACCTCCAAGGATGGAGGCTCCACAGACTCTCTGGACAGCCTGGTTTTCTTTACTTCTTCCCATCAGGTATTTATGCACATTGATAAGATCCCCCCTTAGCTTTCTCTCCTCCATGTTGAATGAATGATGGTCCCATCTCCCTCATCCTCAAATATCAGATACCTCAATCCCTGAATCATTTTAGTGGCCCTTCACTGGAGTGACTCCCATACGCCCACATTTTCCTCCTACTGAGGATCCCAAAGCTGGACACAGAACTCTGGATGTGTCTCACCTGTGCTGTGTAGAAGGAATACCAGGCGTGCTCTGGCATTTGCAAGGATAAAGTCCTGTATAAAAGGTAGCCTTCATCTCATCTGTAAGTTTTGCCAGCAAAATCACTTGCTTGTCTACTAGATTATCAGGAAATACAGTTCATGGACTTTGTCCAAGATCCTAAAGGACCTAAACACCTCTCATTAGGATCTCTCTATATATTTGTAAACCCAAGTCCCTTCTGTAGGAGTGTGTTTTGCATAGCTGTTTCAAATAAGTTGCATTTGCAGAGAGCCAGGTTAACAACAATCCTTGTTACTCAAACCTTGCTCCTCCTGCTAGCAGATTCCCAGCTGGTTCTGGGGAGCTGACTTGGTGTTGTCCAAGTAATACAGAGCCATGCAGTTGGAGCTGGGAGCCTGCAGTGTCTCATCCCAAAGGTGGGGTATATGCAGGGTAATCATCCTACTCAGCAGGATGTAGCTTTAGCTGCTGTTAAATCCTTCCATCTTCTCTTGCAGCAGGAATGGTTGCCTGGCACAATGTGCAAAGGCTGTGTGGCTGGATTAAGAGGTTCTTTATCTGATGGGCAGGTTAAAGACTTGCTTCTAACCTTGGGGTTTTTTCCATTTTCAGTGCATCCACCGAGATGTAAAGCCAGAAAACATCTTGATAACAAAGCACTCGGTCGTCAAACTTTGTGACTTTGGATTTGCTCGCATACTGAGTGAGTGCCACATGCTACTTATACAGGTTGTTAACAGTTGAAAGCTCAAAGGAAGTGTAGGATCAGGCTTCCAAGCATCAGTAAAGACTCACTTGTCTTTGTCTGATGCATGTATAAATCATCCTGTATAAAGGCTGGCATGTTTTCACAGAGAAGCTCTGCTAAAGGCCAGGTAGATATCCACAAAGCAGTTTAAAGGGAGCTAGCCCAGGCACCGAGATGCCAAGTGCCTCTGTAAACAGACTTGGCCTGAGCTCCCTGCTGGTGCAGCTGAACTGCTGGTGGTGCTGGCACTGGTAGGTGGAAGTTGGCCTTGGGCATCTTGGAGCTGCCAGCCGTTGTTTATGCAATGCAGGAGACACAGCTGGAGTTCCCTGGCAGGAGGAGCCCTTCTGGCAGAAGGCACTGTCTCTGCAAACAATGGTCTCACATTTTCCATGGTAAATAAACCCCCTAATCTGGGGTTTTTTAGCTCTTGTTCAAACAAACCACGTGGGCTTTGAGAACTGGCCACTGGCTGATGCAGGGCCTTCTATGGAGTTCTGCATATTTGCATTTGGAGAAGAATACAGTCTTGATTTTTGCCGTATCTGAAGTGTTTCCGAAGTTGGGTTTTGCCCGTGGCCAGTGACTCATTCTGTTCCTGTAGCTATTGCTTGCCCAGGGGGTGCCCCAACATGGGTAACAACTTATGGCTGCTCATCTTCATGGTTCTGATCCTATATTCCTGTTTATTTCTCTCCTTCCTGACCCCAACCTAGCTGGTCCGAGTGATTATTACACAGACTATGTGGCTACCAGGTGGTACCGCTCTCCGGAGTTACTTGTGGGAGACAACCAGTACGGGCCTCCCGTGGACGTGTGGGCAATAGGTTGCGTCTTTGCAGAGTTGCTGTCTGGGGTCCCCCTGTGGCCTGGCAAGTCTGACGTTGACCAGCTGTACCTCATCCGGAGAACCCTGGGTAAGTGTCCTGGTCAGAGCCCCGGCCTTCCTGATGCATTTGGCAGGACTAGAGCTTGCCTGGAGGACTGTCCTCTGTGGTGGAAATCAGGATTAGCCAGGAGGTGAATTTACCCAGTGGATCTCTCCCTTTTTGTAGGAGTTGGGTTTTACTGGCATGACTCACATGTGTACATCCTGTTAGGAGGTTGTGTATGTAGTTGGAGTGACAGGTGCTGCTGCAGGTCCAGGGGAAACAAAGTTGGCATCTGTGTGGGTGTTGACTGTTCTTCAGGAAAAGATCTGTGGCTTCAGCTTGTGTGAGCCAGCAGTGCCAGACTGTGGCTAAGATGGACAGGGCTGTGTAAGCAGGATCATTGCCTGCAAACTGGCCAAGACCATCCTTCTACTCTCTGTAGCAGTGGTAGTCTCTGGGAAGCTGGCCCTGGAGCCTGGTGGTTTAAGAAAGATGTAAGATGTGTTGGGTGACCATCAGATGCCCCTCTTGCTCTTTTGGGGTGGTGCAAGGTGTGAGGAGCACAAGGCCAGCCCTGCACAGGAGGCATAGGAACAACCATCTCTGCTGCTGTCCTGCCCATCTTCAGCCGTCCCCACACAGATAGAAAAATGGGGTGCCTGTATCAGGAAAGAGCAGGGATGTTTTGCATAAAGGTGAGAAAGATCCAGGTATTTTTCAAGGTTTGGTACCAAACAAAGCAGTCCCTGCCTCTAGATAAAAAATAGTTGGGTTTAGTTTATCACGGCTTTGGAGGTCTCATAAACATTGCCAGTGTCTGTGGATAGCTGTGTGCTTGGGAAAGAGAGTGTGAACACTGAAATTTGTCTGTTCCCTTTGTTTGTCTTTATTCACCAAGGAATTTTAGGAGCTGCTCCATATTTGGAACAGGGGTTAAATAAAAGAGCCATTATCTGTATAACACTTAAATTAATCTTGTCCCATTGATTCAGTTTGACCTTGGTGCGTAATACCAGATTTCTCAGGTGGAGAGGAACAACTCCTCACTTTTAGTTGAAATTTGTTGAAATGAACTGAAAATGGTAGGTTTTGCTGAGCAGTTTCTAAAACTATAAAGGTGACTAATGGCTTTAAACGGAAAAGCTCCTTAACTGGAAAAGCAGTTCAGTGTTGATTGCTTCATCCTCCAGAATACGTCTGTGCCAGTGTTAAGTAAGTTATCATTTATTTTTAATGATAGGGTTTCAGCCAGCAGAAATTCCCTTTTGATCCAAGCAACGACTGAGGCAGCGTTTACAGAGAAAAGCTCCTTGGCCAAAGCTGTGTAATTATGGTAGTTTGGCTGGTGTACTGCTCTTTTGTTACAGGTTTGATTTTAGCATTTAGCTTGCTCTGAGCTGCTCTAAGCTTCGAGAAAGAGACATAAAGCTGTGCTGGGAAAAAGCTACAGCTTGTTCCTGTTGGTGCTGCATTTAATCTCTTTTCTATACAACATCCTCAGGAGTGTTGAGAAATAATTTCACCCAATAAGAGTTAAATTTTAACGAAGCTAGAACACTTGTGGTTAGCCTGTTCCCTTACAGCAGTCAGAGAAGCCACAACTGTTTATGCAGACAGGCTGCCTCTTGGGAACCCTTTGCCTTTGAAAATGCTGAAACACAGCATTGGCATGGAGAGCAGGCCAGCAGAGCTTGCCTCACCCTCCCTCCAAGAGAGCACATCAACAATGCTGCTCACACTGCCAGATGGCCACCTCCAAAACAACAGTGGCTCCTGCCCAGGGTTGGTCCATCATGTCTGATGTGAGCAGGGGAGGTAGCTGCTGGTCTGATCCTGCTTAATACTTTGGGAAGGATCCCTGGCTGAAGCTGGGTGATGTGCCATGGCTGGAGTTTCAGATCCTCATAGGTGTTTGCACAGCACCCTCTAGCTATGATGCTGAAACATATTTTCCTGTTCACTGATAACACACATCTAGAGTTCAGTCAGCACAGAGCGGAGATCCAGGAGCTGGCACAGAGCAGACATTTTTATGCAACTTAGTGCCTTGCTCACTTCATTCCCTGGTGTTCTACCAAGGGGTCCTCTTGCTAATGCAAATCCAAATTCACAGCTACCCAGATAATGCAGTGATAGCATCAGATCAGGTGTTTGGCATGGGGAGACACATAGAAATATGTATTTTTTAGGCCCCCAGGTGTGGTGGCCACAGTTCATAAAAGCCACTCTGCCACACAACACAGAGCCTGGAAGATCACAGAATCCTCGAATGGTTTGGGTTGGAAGGGACCTTAAAGGTCATCCAGTTACAACCCTCTGCCATGGGCAGGGACACCTTCCACTAGACCAGGCTGCTCCAAGCCCTGTCCAGCCTGGCCTTGAACACTGCCAGGGATGGGGCAGCCACAGCTTCTCTGGGCAACCTGTGCCAGTGCCTCAGCAATCTCACAGGGAAAAGCTTCTGCCTAATTTCTAATCTAAATCTGCTCTCGGTCAGTTTAAAGCTATTTCCCCTTGTCCTATCCCTAACAGACCCTTGTCAGAAGTACCTTTCCACCTTCTTGTCAGCCCCTTTAGGTGCTGGAAGCTGCTCTAAGGTCTCCCTGGAGAGAACCCTCTCTTCTCCAGGCTGAACAGCCCCAGCTCTCAGCCTGTCTCCAGAGCTGAGGTGCTCCAGCCTTCTGAACACCTTCATGACCTCCTCTGGACTTGCTCCAGCAGGTCCATGTACTTCTTACCCTGGGGAACCCACAGCTGGATGCAGGACTGCAGGTGGGGTCTCACAGGCATGGAGTAGAGGGGGAGAATCCCCTCCCTCAACTCTCTGGCCATGCTGCTGGTGATGCAGCCCAGGACACAGTTGGCTTTCTGGGCTGCAAGTGCACACTGCCAGATCATGTTGAGTTTCTCACCAGTGCATGGTAGCTGGGTACTGCTGCTGCAAAACCTCCTCCCACCAGCTGAATTTCTTCGAGCTGTTCACAGAACAAGGTCCTGGGCAGCTGTGACCAGGGCCAGCTGGAGCTGTGTGGCCCTGGCTTTCCTTAAGCACAGTCACACAGCTGTGGGATCACCAGTGTTAGAAGTGGACATCAGTTTTTGCAAAAGAAAGTTTCATCAGCTCACTTGATGTTATTCCATGTCTTCAGACATTCTTTCGGATGGTGTCAGCCTTGTCAGCTTGTTCAATGCAGGCTCTGTAAAACTAGCAAATTAATCCAACTTTGCCTTTTTACTTTCTTTCTTGGTCAAAGGGGATCTTATTCCCAGGCACCAGCAAGTGTTCAGCACCAACCAGTTCTTCAGTGGGATAAGAATTCCAGACCCAGAAAGCATGGTAAGAGCTCTCTCCAGACACACTTCCCGTGAGCCTAAGCAATCTATGTGCAGTGCTAACCAGCAGTCTGTGTGTAGTGCTAAACAGATGAAGTGTTCAGAGAGAAGTGTTCCTGCTTCCTTCTACCCAGAGTACACATGCTGTCTGCTTTGGAATCAGAGCTGGAAAAGCCTCGCTTGCTCAGTGTGACCAGTCCTTTGCTGCACAGCACTTTTTCCCTATCCAGAAGTTTTGCCCTTTACTTTGCCAATGTACACCAGAGTATTTGGAGGTGGCTGAACCCCTCTCATGACATTTTAACCAAAATCCTGTGTAAAAGCAGTCAGAAATGTTTAATCTCTGCTCCTTGCCCTGGTTCTGGTGGCACAGCAGCCAAATTACCCATCCTCAGTAATGCCAGGAGCATTCCTCTTAAGTGCATGAAGTGAGAGACATGTTTTGTGAGGTCCAGGTCACGTTGCTATGGAAAGCTGGTTCTCTGTACCCTGATGAATTCAAAGCTGGCTAACCTGAGTACACTCACTGTTGTTTTCTCTCCAGGAGCCATTAGAAATGAAATTCCCTCGTATTTCATACTCTGCTCTAGCTCTCATGAAGGTAAGAAAACTACCACTCACAGAGTAGCTTTGCACCAAGGCTTAGCAAATGCAGCCTGGTTTTGCTTATCAGCTGGTAAATGGTTTGAGAGTCAGCTACTGAATTATCAGAAATTCTTTTTAAAGCAGAGCTGGAGGGGATTTGGAGAGGACTTTTAATCCACTCCTTTTCACCATGGAGGTGGAAAACATTATTCCCTTAGTAAGATGCAGTGAATGGAAACCGTGAGGATGGAGACATTAACAAGAAGGTGCAGCTATGGACAGTCCTGGCTGCGCTGCACACTGGCACAACAGGGCTAGTGCCATAGTGGAGTCCCCTGCTTAAGGAAGGTGTTCAGTTCAAACGAAGGTTGTGGGCTGAACTGTTGAAGTTTGCTACACCATCCAATTGCAACTGTCCCTCTAGCTGCAATTTCTACTGCTGCCTTGTGGCAGTTGTTGGGTATTGGCTGCTTTGCATGCCTTGTGCTGACTCTGGAAAGCCACTTCTAGAATCCATTAAGAAAAATATTAAGAACTGTACCCGTGTGAATAGTCGTTGGCTTGGTGAGTAGCTGGAATTGTGCAGAGCTGTTTAACGGGTGTTTCATGTGATCCATTACTTCATCTTTTTTCTAAGAGTTGCCTTCGTATGGACCCTGCAGAGAGGCAGACCTGTGAGCAGCTGCTGCAGCACCCCTACTTCAACAGCATAAGGGAAGCAGCGGATCTAGGCAAAGAACATGGAAAAATGGCTCGGAAACCAGCTCGGCTGACTCAAAAGCATGTGCCAGGGGTAACATTTTCATAGTAGTATTTCATGTTCTGTACCAGAGGAGGGGCCTGGTTCTCTTTGTTGGGCTTGCAGGAGGTGGGCTCATGGGGGCAGTTAACGGTGAGAGCAAGCTCCTGCCTTGGACCCATCTTAATTTCAGCCCGAGGAGAAAATTAACCTCTTGGCTAAAGAGTAACTCAGTACAAACTGAATTCAGTGTGCAGCTCCACTGAGTCGCTGTGTAAGCAGCACATCATGTGAAAGATCAGGTTTATCCAGGAATGTGCATTCCTGACAAAGAGTAGCAGGATAGCTGGACAGGCTGGACAGGTTGGTGTGGCTGATTTAATTTGGAGTTCTCTGGTATCTTTTTGGTGCTTTTGAATTCCAAGTTATGAAGGTGGCAAAAATGCCCAGTTCTGTTTGTAACTGTTGATGGGATGTGATCCCTTATGTGGTTCCAGATGTTACACAACACACTGGGTGTTTCTGCCAAGCACATGTTTCCCAGTTCAGTCTTTCCAGACGCCAGCCCAAGTCTCCAGTCCAGCCTCTGGAGGAGAGGTGTTTAGTTCTGTCTTCCTGCGAGCCATATTCCCCACAACAGCAGGGAGTTTGGAGGTGTGGAATGGAGAACTGTTACAGCATGTAAATTCCTGGATCAAACTGACTTGCCTCTTCTATGGCATGGGATATAACAGTAATATTTTTCCTGCCCTGGATGACTGAAAGAAGGAGCTTTAATGAGCTCTTCTGGTTCCGGTCCAGTTGTAGAAGGCCAGCTCCACAACTCCTCATTTGAAAAGCACAGGATTACAGGATGAATACACTTATAGCTTATATTTCATTTGAAAAAATGAAATGCATGCTTTAGTCTCCTTTCAAACAAATACACACTATGTAACTTTTCTTTCAGTTACAGTACCTGCCTCAGTTAACCAGCAGTAACGTACTACCAGCGTTGGACACCAAGAAGTACTGCTGCAAAACGAGAAAATCAAACTATCATTTCCCTAACATCTAATTGGATGGCAAATTAAAAACTATTCATTGATCAAAGTTCAAGTAATTTCACAATTTATAAAAGGAATAATGGTGGAAAACAAAATTACTGCTTGTTAGGACATACGCAGAAGTGGTCTGTGACGTACTCTGGGTCAGTAACGGAAGTGATACACAGAGAGAATTCCAAGCTCCTGTTAGTCAGTGCTCTGCGTACCAAGGAAGATACAATTAATTTGCTTTAATTCGTGGTTGTGTACCAGTTTGTGGTTGTGAGACAGTTCAGGATCACTGCAATCCAGTGCTTGCAGTGCAAGCTTAAAACCTTTTGCCTGTTCATCCCCGTATTTCAGACCTCTCAGCAGAGCTGCAGCCTTGTCAAAGCAATCAGAGTCCAGCTGTGTCAAAGCAGTAACACTGCTTTGGAGTCACTGATCCCATGAGGAACTGTAAATGCCTTGGTGATGGGAGCAGAGGAGGGGACGGGTGGTGTAGGGGGGCCAAGCCTGGTGGGAGGCTGCCTGACCGGTCAAGTAAGTTCCAAACCTGCTGAAGTAGCAGGGGTCTAAAGAAGTGTCTGTCTTTCCTACCACATTTAAAGATCACGCAGTAATAAACGTACTGGTAATGACTCAGACCTAGTGTAAGGTTCAGTGGGCACTGTTACCAGGAGAACGTAGAAACAATACAACCTGTTGTTTATTTAGTCTTTTCAGAGCTTCTCCTGTGTGTTTCTTCCTTGCATTAGGAGCTCATTTTTATTTGCTGTTTCCATCAGCAGCAAAATCACTTGCCTGTAGTGTTACAGAAATCATTTTTTTGTCAAAACTAATTCATGAATATCATTTATAACACTGGCTAGACGCAGGAAGGAATTCTGCCTAAGCAAGATGTATTAGAATGATTTGTAAGTTTTGTGTAATCTTAGGACATACTATTGTGTTGATTTTGAATAAATGTAGTTTGTTTTGCCCATTTACTGGATGTTTTACTGTATAAAGTTGAGTGTGCCTGTCTACCTTTTGTGTTATAATTAAATGTATTTTAATCTTGTACATTTTGTGCCTCAGTAGTTTTGGTTACACTCAGAAAGCTGTGGCACTGCAGGATTTTCTGCACAGATGTTCAGCCATCTAATCCTGTGTATGTGCAAGGCACTGCAGCACCCACTGGTTGTTAGCAGCGGTTAGCCTGGCAGTGGGCTCCTGGAACCAGTCCGGCACAGCACAGGCTACAGGTACACCATTCTTGCCTGTTCTGTGCTGGGGGGTGCCACAGACAATCAGCCCCACAATGCAGGTAGTACAAAATGTCCTTTCCAGGGCCTGGAGTCATTTTCTTCTGCAGCCAAGCTGGCAGTGAGGGGCAAGAGGTGTTCAGTTATGCAGAGATTGTCATGTCTGAGACATTGCTGGGAAATCTGCTTTCCTGGAGTTGCTGTCTACTGCCCTTCTCCCTTACAATAAAACTAGGAATTGACTAAAACCACTGTATTCTTCCTGAGGATGAATCACTTATTTAGCAGGAGTGATATGGATGCAACTGAAGAGGTACACAGGGCTCATTTAGCCCAGCTCTGCATAAGAAAAAACGTGTGCAAGGGTATATGCAAGAGACCCCATTTCTCCATAAACACACATTATCGGAGAGACCCTCCTTCTCCATAGACTCCTCAATGGAGGGAATCTGTCAGCTCAGTGTTTACAAGGAGACTACACTGTCTATTTGTAGATCACTTCACTTAAAGACATGCGAGTCAAAGCCCGAGGAACACTAACAAAAGGCCCTTAAGCTATTTTATTAAAATCAGGTGAGATTCTCAGAGTAAAGACCTCCCATTCCACAACACCAACACCATGGAATGGAAGCGCCCAGCACTGCTGCTTCACTACACTGACCTTCTGCCCACTGTTGTTTTGCACAAGAACTGTGCAGTAAAACACTTGAGAACTACTGAGGTATTAACAGCTTCCTATAAAAACAGGAATAAAATAACTACACACACAAGTCTGTCTGCTCTGTTGTTGGTAGGTGAATAGTTTAAGCTTATATAGTTTATATAGCTTAGGTTTATATAGTTTAACCTTAATAAAACTTAATTGCATAATTTGTCAAAAGATTGTGTACAGCTTTTGAGGCTGCATTGGGCAATCTGGGCTTATTTCCATACCTGGAAATACAGTACTGTCTACAGCTCGGTTTATGCAACATACAATAAATACTGTGAAATCAAATACATCTCCATTATAAGCAATTGTGTTTATTCTAAATCCAGCTCCAGCTTGAGGTTTGGCAGTGCCTGCTGAAGGACGTGAGCAGTAGTTTCTTTCTGTCTTATTCCAGGAAGGTCACTCAGATACAAATATTCAAGGTTCCTATAAATATTTAAAAACAAAAGTCAGTGACTACTATTTAACTGTTGACACAGAAATTAGATAAAGACCAGAGCTGTTTAGAGTATCTTAAAAGTTGTTTTCTTTTCTGAAGTGGGGGGGGTCAGCTCACCAGCTCAGTTCAGTCCAGTCCTTCTACACAGCTTAGAAAGAGATCCTGGACTCCCTGCATCATGGAGCTTGCTTTATATTGAACAATACTTAATAATTTCAATAGCACTTTAGCTTAGAAAACAAGCCATGATAGGTTGGACCAGAAGATCCTTGAGGTCCCTTTAACCTGATATTCTAAGATTCCAGAAAAATTTAATATAAATAATAATTAGAGTAATATAAAAAGTCCTTAGTAAAACCTTTCTGTAGGATGAAATCCATCACCCATTTGTTGATGTTTGCAGCTCGGTGTGACACTAAACAGTTCTGAGTTACTTTAAGGCCACAGTTCAATACAGCACCCATAGATGTTGTGGACAGGTACACAGCACCCAACTACTTCCCCAGGCTTAAGTACTCAGGTCCACCCCGACACCTTGAGCCTACAGTGAGCATAACTCAGTGACAGAAGCCATGCGAGGTGTAGAAGGACCATAGAAATTACACACCACCATCAAAGACTGCCCTGAACAGCAGCTGCAGCAGTGTGGTCAGCCCAGAAACCAGAGTGATCATCAAATAAAACCAGGCGAAACCAGCCCAGAAACATGAAGAGCCCATCCCTCACAGTCAACCCAGTCCCAAAGCCATGGGGTGCAACAGCCAGGGAAACAAGGTGCTATAGAAGAGCTCAGCAGCTCACGTACATCAGCTTCTGAAGTGCAATGATGCCTTTATCTGTGACATTCCCACAGGAAATTATCTTCAGCTGGAGGAGGCTCTTCTGCAGATTCTCTGTCTCACTGAGCCTCTGCAGACACTCATCCTGTATGTAAATACACTTCTGCAGTTTGATTTCTGTAACATGTTCGAGACCATCTGGGAAGACAAAAATCAGTATTGGCTTCAGAATACCAGGAACAACCTGTACTGGTTGGTAAGTTCTGAGTTCAGCAATTGCCTCCAAACCCCCACAGTGACATGCTCACTTATACAGGTGGCTATAAGGCAACATGAATCTCCAAAGTCCCTTTGCAGTACTTCGAATACATGGAAACCCCAGGGTTTGTATCCTTTGGGTAAGAGACTAAGAGCTCTGGCATGGGCACGTAACAAAAAAAACCTCCACAAATCTGGGTGGAGAATAAGGACTCTGACTTAGGAACGTACTATTGCAGGAAATTCAAGGTCCCCTGCCAATGAAAAACTAAAATGGTCTGTTCACATTTTGGTTTCTGTTACTTAAAGGAGACCTGAAACACTTCTTTAATCTTATTTTATGAGAAACTGAGAGCTTTTTTTTTTTTTTTTCATCTTCCAAGACATCATAAATGCCTGGAGAACAAGTAATGAGACTTCACAGGCACCAAGAACATCACTTGGTTTAGAAGTAATATTTAACATAGGGCTTTTTGCTACCAGCTACTTAACTATGAACTTAATGAAACAGCAAAACTGTGTTGCACTTCTTCAGTGTTACTGTTGCTTAAGGTAAGGGTTGATGAAGTTCCCAATCTGCTTCACACCACGCCTCCAACAAAATCTTAGGAATGGCTGAATATTTGTAGAGCCATTTTAAGGGGGGGGTTAGGGAGGAGAGAAAGGAAAATATTTCTCTGTATCTTGCTATGGAAGGAGGAAATGACACAGTTACTCGTATTTTCATGCAACTGAAAGAACTGTTCAGTATAATACTTGCACAGCTGTGTCTACGTTACCCAAATAGTCAAATCCTCTGTACATGATGCAAGATTCAGTGGCATCAATTGCTTCTATTTTGTATTTCCCCAAGGGCCCTGTTGGGAGACCACTGTAGTCCTGCTGCCATTTCTGATAGCCTTGATAGCGCACCAGCGCACCACATCGCAACAGCCACTCCGAGGCTGCCCTGTCAGGGCCAACTGCTTGGATACGTTCATAGTCCACCCTGCGAGAGAGAAAGAGCATTCACATGGCTTCTGTAATGTGGCAGACTTATTGCCTCGATGATAATAATGACTGCACAACAAATACTTGGCTAGGTGTATGTAAGATGTCAGAAAAGTAATAATATGATCTACTGGAATTGGTTTATGTATAATTATTTGGATTGTTCTTTATCAGCCAGGCAAGAATTTATTTTTTATTTAAATGTCAGAGGCTTGTGGTAAAAAGAGAAAGAATGCAAATGCAACCCTTACAGCTGATTGTTTCCTTGTGTCTGTAAGGAGAGATGAAAAATCACCTTTCTATCCAAAGTAAGGCTTTGCAACAATTGCAAATCTGTCTCCCAGACACTGATTACATAAAAACCTCTCATTGCCTGTCATGCTCCTGTTGTTCCTGAAGCCTTTTTCCTCAACAATTACAGTATTTCAGAAAGATACACTTCAGCAGTTAGTTAAAATCCTTAGTCCATTCAAGACAAAGGTATCTTTCTTAGTCTGGTAAGGAATGCTGAAGACAGAAGCAGAGACCTGGAAGAGACTCCTGTCTGTTTGGGCTTCACACCCTGTTACAGCAATCACCTGCATCACGCAGCCCTTTCCACAAAGCTAGAAAACATGTGGCAAAACTATTAGCTACCGGCAAAAGTATGCACAGAAAAAGAGTTTTGCAGATAAAGAGTTTCACAGAGAAAAGCTTTATCTTTCTAAACCTAACTGTGAAACCCTGGTGTGGGAGTCACACTGTAAATTATAGGTTGGTTAGATGCTTTTTTAAGTAAAGGGGGTATGGTCGTGTTACAGGTTTAAATGCATCTGGGGGTCAAAGGAAGGCTGGCATTTAGGGAGTAAATGCACATTGCCAGCTTGCCTACCACCACTGGGAGGGGAGCAAATCACACACCTTCCTCTGGAAGGCCGCAGCTTTGTAACTGAAACAGGTAAGGAATGCCCCCTGCCAAGCATCAGCATGCAGTGTGGGGGGGAAAGAAAAGCACTGGTAGCACAAAATGCCCTTTCCAGTCCTGGGACTCAGTTCTCCCTGCTTCACAAACCGCACAGGGGATAGATGCGACCTGCTAATGGCCTTGTACGCACCGAGTTACCCTTACTTGTTGAACACGGCATTCAGCCATCCCCAGAAGCCTCTGCAGGCGCCCGGCGGGGGCAGCTTGCCGAGGCTGTGCACCGGATGTGCAAGTTTCCCCAACAGCACCATGTTCTTGAAGAAAGGAGAGGACAAAGAGAGGCGTTACCCGGAGAGCCAGCCCCAGCGGGACGGGCAGCCCGTACCCGGCTTCCCCTCAAGGCCTAACCACATCTGTGAGCCCCGCGGGAACGACCACTGCAGGACAGCCCCGGGGACTGTGCTTGAAGGGAGGCTCCAGCACCGCCTCAGGGCTCACCCCGCCCCGCTACCGCCCTCCCGGGATCCCCTCCCGAAGGGCTGCCCCCAGGGGACAAGCAGACAAACCGTACACGGAGACCGGCCCGACCTGCCACCAGAGGCCACTCACGGCCGCCGCGGAGCGGGCGCGTAGGAGGAGCCCGTCCCGCTCGGTATCACCGCCCCCAAGATGGCGGCGGCGGCGCTGCTGCGGCAGCGGGCGGGCAGCGGCGGGGCCAGGGCGCTGTGGCGAGCCCAGCGCCGCCAGCGCAGGTGAGGCCGCGGGGCGGGGGCGGGCAGGCGGCCCTCTCCGAGCCTGCACTGGCTGTGGCCCCTCAGCTATTCCTTCACGGCGGGAGGGCGGCCATAGGAGTGCCGGGGCCGGGTGGTCGCTTTCCCCTCAGAGCCGGGGCGGGAGGCGGGCTGCGCATCGGGCGGGCAGGCAGGCGCGTCCCCGCGGGCACCCTGCGGGTGAACTCACTGCCTGCTTGTCTGTGTGTCTGTCGGTCTGTCTGTGTGTCTGTGTGTGTGTGCAGCACCTTCGACGTGGTGGTGGTGGGCGCGGGAATCGTGGGGCTGGCCTCGGCCCGGGAGCTCGTCAGGCGGCATCCCTCGCTCGCCTTCGCCGTGCTGGAGAAGGAGCAGGAGCTGGGTATGGCGCCGTGTCCTCCTCACCCGGGTGTGCTCGGGTTCACCGGGTGTCAGCCTGTCAGAAGTTCTTTTCCGAAGGGTACCCTCGCCAAAACCGCAGTACTTCGTGATCATGCCTGTAAAGGGAATGCTAGAATCACAGAGTGGTTGGGGCTGGAAGGACCTTAAAGCTCATCCAGTTCCAACCCCCTGCTACAGATTGCCCCACTGCTGTTTTGAGCAAAGTCTATGCCTGTCTGTTAACTGTCAGTACTGTAAACCACACTCATATGCCCTGTGATTCTGGATATCCCTGTATATGCTGTGCAAAGTGCTGTTACTTGCATGGGAGGCAATTTATCAGAGGCAAAGAACTAATAGATACCTGGGAAGATGGTCACTAGTTATTGGCCCAGAATTAACTACAGTAAAACGGCACAGATCCCAGTCTTGCCTGCTTACACAGGAAATCTTGAGGCACTCTTCACCGGGCCATCCCTCCTGGCTTTGAAATAAGAAAGAATAAGCCCTGTTGCTTCATTGGAAGCTTTTCTGGCTCACTCAACTACAAGCACAGTTTCACCATAAGCAGTCTTTTCACACCAAGTGCTTATGCAGATAGGCAGCCACTCAGGGTAGGTAGGAGCTACCCCAAGGGATCATGTCAGTGGATAATGCAAAATAATACCAGTGAGCCCAAGGTCTTGCTTTAAATAGCTCGATCAGCCAGGCTGCATACTGGTCTTGAGGTGTTACATGTATGATATGAAGTGGCTTTTTATAATAAGATGGGATGTACATTAGGTAAATTAACAGTTGTGTGACTGCAAAGCAGGAATGAGTCAATACTTTGGGAGTCAATATGTTAAGAGGGAGAACCTGCTCAAATTACTTAAAAATGTTTGTGATACTTTTCACCTCTGTTTTACTTAGTTACAAAGAGCAAATCGCGACTTAATCCCGTTCACAAATACTTGAAAAGCCTACCGAGCCTGCCAGCACATCCCAAGAAATGGTGAATTGTGCAGATGTTATGTTAGATGAGGACTTTAAGGATGCATTTCATTTTAAAAACTGAATTTCTTAAAATTAATTTCAGCATGTACAAAATTTTTGTTGATTGGCCTGCAAGTGTAGCTCTTGGAGGAAAAACTTGTGATTAGCTTTTATTCTGCCTGTTGATTCAACACACTGCAAGCTGGTTTATTATTAACTAGGTTAGATGCTTTTCTAAGTAAAGGGGGCATGGTCGTGTTACAGGTTTAAATGCATCTGGGGGTCAAAGGAAGGTTTATTATTAACTAGGTTTATTATTAACTAGGCCTTGCTGTGTCAGTGTTTTTCTAGCCTTTTGAGACCAAGGGAGTAATTGGCTTTGCTGTGCAGTTACCTTATATGAGCATCTATTTTAACACTGATTTAGGGCAGGACCTTACTCTTCTGACAGCTGAGGTAATTAAAGTGTGAACTAATAATGGAAACGTGCATTTTAATAACATACTTTTCTTACTCTTCAGCTCATCACCAGAGTGGACATAACAGTGGCGTGATTCACAGTGGAATTTACTACACACCTGGATCTCTGAAAGCTAAGCTGTGTGTAGAGGGAGCAGCCCTCTGCTACGAGTACTGTGACCAGAAGGGAATACCATATAAGCAGTGTGGGAAGGTATAGGAACTGCTGTGCATTCTTATTGTACGTTTGGAAACTGAGACTGTATAATGTAATGTTACAATGTATAGCAGCTCTGGTTGTGGTCTTTCTCCCAAGAGATGACTTTCTGCAACACTAGTTTCAGAATGAAAGTGCTTTTTTGTTCTTTCCAGCAATTCAAATTGGTTTCTTTTCTGGACCTAAATAATAATTCTCCTTATCTGTCAGCTGAGCTGAAATACCGCAGGTAATGGTGGAAGCCAGGCCCCATGGAAGAGCACCTGTGTAGCTCCAAGGAGCAAAGTCTCTCAGTATGTGCATACCTTATTTCCTGGCATATCAGACTCTGAAAAGACTTGAAAACAGCTCCAGATGTGACCCAGCTACATGTGTTTATGCCATGTTACATCTACCTAACACAACCTGAAATGCTGGGGACAGAAGAGTGACTGTACTGATTCACTTGGGGTCTACCCAACCCTGTATCCAATTTCTGGAAGTTTCTGGAGAGAATAAGGAAGGAATGAGGACAGGACAAGCAAATTATTAATTCTTCCAGCTTCCAATTATTTTCAGCTCAGATAATTTTCTGAGCCTGATGTGTTTTGTCTGTGGTGACTCTCAATCGTTTTCTTTTCCAAGTGTTTTTAAATTAAAAGTTTTTGCATCGGAGCATACTTTGATGAGCAGTTCCACAGATCAACAACCCACTGCATCATTTTGCACCTGGCTCCTGTAAGCTTCATCTGATAGCCCCTACCCCTTGTGTTAGAAAAGCTCATGAACAGTTGATCTGTGCTTACAGTCTCTAAGTTGCACATAATTTCATATCCCCTCCTCCCTTCCAGCTGGTGAGTCTTAACGCTGCTCAGTCATTCCTCTTAGAGGAATGATGACTCTTCTTATCCTGGCTTTCTTCTCTGACCCATTCATGGTTTAATGCATCTTTGATACAAGATAAGGATCACAGTTGTGCACAGCATTCAAGATGTGGTCAGACTGTGGGTTTTTGCAAAGAAATAGCATTATCTGTATTATCTTGTATCTTTACCCTCATTGTTCCTAACATTCAATTTAGGGTTTTCAGATGTCACTAGCTGATGTTTCCATAGGACTGTCTATCCTTACCCTGAAATCTTGGTCCTGAGTAATAACTTTGAACTATAATTCAGCATTTTATACCTGAGGCTAAGACTACTTTTTCTATGATCACCATTTCACATTTATATGCATTGAATTTCATCTGCCGTTTTCAGTTGCTCATTCACCTTGGAAGGTCTTCTGCAGTTCTTTACAGTCAGCTCTTGTCAGAACCGTCTTGAGTCACTTTAAACCGTCACCTGACTTTTTCACCTCCCTGGCTGCCCCTTTTGAGGTTGCTCATAAACATCTTGGACCTCCTGAGCCTTTATCTTTTGTAAGTGCAATGCAGACCCTATCTGGTGTGATGAGCGTCACTTCAAGTCCCCCCTGCTCAAAACGTATGGGGACCTGGGTGCAGATCTCACCAGCTCTGAAGTGCAGAGCAGAAATCCCTGGAAGTGGCGGTGTGGATGGCCCCGCACTAGTGCGGATGGTGTTTGTCCCGGCCGGGCTGTGCTCCCTCCACTGCAGCCCTGGTCACAAGATGGCACTGTGGATTTGTACAGCAATACACTTGATGTGTCAAGCCTAACTCGAAGCTGAAGACAGCAGACTTGCTCTGTAGGCGTAAATTCGAGCTTGGATAAGGTTAGCCGACCCAGCAGTTTTGTTGGTCCTTTGCTGACAATAATTTTGTTACTTCCTCATTGCCTTTCCCGGAAGTGTTTATTCCAGGAAAGATGATGGTGAGGCTTTACAGCAAGTTCTACATAAAGCAGCCCCAGGTTTGGAGAATTCTCAACACAGAAGTGTCTGTGTTGTCAGACTTGAGCTAGGCCTGGAAGTAGCAAGGTCTGTGCAAACCTGGCACAGATAATTCATAGCCTGGATAAATCTCTTGTGGTAGTTGTGAGCTAACTACATGGTTAAATGAAGTGGTACAGTTCAGTTCAGACACCATGTCAGAACATGTCCTTACTCTGTTATCGAGACTGAGATTTGTACAACTTGGGTTAGTTCAGTTTGATTTCTGGAAGCATCCCAGTGTCTCTTTAAAATAATGTTCTTTCATATTGAGACTTGTAGTCTCGTGGTACTTCTAGCAAATATTATCCATTGATAATAGCTTAAACTATAGTTTAACGTTTGTTTTTCACTCTCCTTAATGCTTTCTCAGTAATAACTGGTATTTATAGAATCTTGTGGAGCTAATGGCACAAATCACATTTCCCCCTCCTTGAATTATAATTCACTGTTCACTCACTCACTGTTGTTTGCTTGTTAGCTTGGGCTTGATGCCAGACCTGAACTGGCTGTATGTGTTTTGCTCACTGCTGTGCCTTATCTTTTCTGAAGCTAATTGTAGCTGTTGAACAAGATGAAATTCCAAGACTCAAAGCTCTATACAAAAGAGGGCTGCAGAACAATGTCCCAGGTCTGAAACTGATTGGAACAAAAGAAATACAAGCAAAAGAACCCTTCTGCAGGGTAAGGGATTTGCATCTTTTTAATTAGCATGTAAGATCTCAGTTTCTCAGGTGACATTTTTTAACTTAACATAAATATGTTTCTGGTCTTAAGGTAATTCGCATGGGGGACAAGTTTAAAAGAGCCTGAAAACCCGGAATAAATATAATTGTCAACAAAAATAAATGTATCCATTTATTTCTGGAACTTTTTAGCTCAGCCCAATCCTTCACATGCATTTGTCATTACATACACATCAGACCAGGTCTAACATAACATAAGGTGATGCTGTGGAATCATTAGTGACACTTTCACCCCAGGTTTCTCCTGCTCGCCTCTTCTCATTCTGTTACTTGTCAGTTCATAATTCATTAGTTCTCCATGTGATGAAGGCATAAAGAGTTGATGCTGCTTTAATTGCACATAAGGCACTGACTGAATCCTAATAGCCAGCATTCACAAACTGGAGAGCAAGCAATCCATTTCACTTGCAGCCTACAAAAGGAATCAAGCTTATCCGAATCAAATTAGGAGACTCTAGAGTCCCTTAGTCCTTCTGCAGGGCTGAATTTATAGGTAAATGGATAGAGCCTACAAGTTGCTCAAACTTCATTCTGTTCTCAGCTTTACACAGAGGTGTCCTTCCTGATGTGTGTGCTCAGAAACAAAACCAATCAGCCAAAAAGCTCAACCCCAACCAAAAAGCTCAACCCCAACCAAACCAGACAGTTCTCCTACCGATGATGATTTTTTAACTATTATTAGTATTATTCTTTTTTGTTGTTGTTGTTTTAATTTTATCTGTAATTGTTCCCCCTTCAGTGTTCAAGGCCAGGTTGGACCGGGCTTTGAGCAACCTGGTCTAGTGGAAGGTATGGCAGGGGTGTTGGAACTAGATGATGTTAAGGTCCTTTCCAACCCAAATCAGTCTGTGATTCTCCTTGCAGGTGCTTGCTTGTATGTTTTTGTGGTTGATAGGTAGATTTGCCTTTGCCCAGGTTAGAGCTGCTCTATCTGAGATTATGCTGAGATGATTCTGCTCCTTCCCATTAAAATTATTTAGCATACAGTAAAGCTTGATAATACAACTTACACATGTAAGTGCAGATTGGGTCAAGCTGATTCCAATCCAGTTGCTTCTTGGATCGAAATGGTGGTCCTTATGTAGCACTTCTCAGCCTGTTTATTTTCACAGCAGGAGAAATGTGGGTAGTTTATAGAGTACAGATTTGTTGTTGTTTAGTGTATCTTTGGTTGAAAGGAAAACCTGGATATAAATTCCCTGTGATGTTTCATCTAGCAGCTTGCTATTGGTGTTGCTGTATGCCTCTGCTTGTGAATGGTTGTAGGCACAGACAAATTTTCTGGAGAGGAATCTTTTTCTTTTTCTTTTAAACATTTTATATCTGCTCTTTAAAACTTTCTTTGCTTGTTTAAGATCCAGCTGAGCATTTTCTTCTGCAAATGAGTAGATTCAGGTGGATCTTAATTTACCTTGGTTTCCTGAGCTGAGTCCTATCCTTGTAGGCAAATGGCACTTGAATGGTGTTATAGAATCACAGAATGATAGAATGGATTTGGTTGGAAGGGACCTTAAAAACCACCCAGTTGAACCCCCTCTGCCATGGGGAAGGGACACCTTCCATTAGACCAGGTTGCTCAAAGCCCCTGGTCTAAGGGGGCTTTGAACACTGCCAGGGATGGGGCAGCCACAGCTTCTCTGGGGAACCTGTGCCAGTGCCTCACCACCCTCACAGGGGAGAACTTCTTTCTTATATCTAATCTAAATCTCCCCTCTTTCAGTTTAAAGCCATTTCCTGTTGTTCTGTCCCTGCAGGACCTTGTAAAAATCCCTCTCCATACTTCTTGTCAGCCCCTTTGAAGCTGCTCTAAGGTCTCCCCAGAGCCTTCTGTTCTCCAGGCTGAACAACTCCAGCTCTCTCAGCCTGTCTATCAAGTGGAAAGAAAGGTTTTATAGAATCATAGAATACTTAGGGTTGGAAAGGACCTTAAGATCACATAGTTCCAACCCCCCTGCCGTGGGCAGGGGCACCTCCCACTAAACCATGTCACCCAAGGCTTCGTCCAACCTGGCCTTGAACACTGCCAGGGATGGAGCATTCACAGCTTCCCTGGGCAACCCATTCCAGTGCCTCACCACCCTTTTCTAGCAGTAAAGAATTTATTTCTTATATCCAATCTAAACTTCCCCTGTTTAAGTTTGAGCCTGTTACCCCTTGTCCTGTCACTACAGTCCCTGATGAAGAGTCCCTCCGCAGAATCCCTATAGGCCCCCTTCAAATACTGGAAGGCTGCTATGAGGTCTCCATGCAGCCTTCTCTTCTCCAGACTGAACAGCCCTAACTTTCTCAGCCGATCTCCATACAGGAGGTGCTCCAGCCCCCTGATCATTCTCGTGGCCCTCCTCTGGACTTGTTCCAACAGTTCCATGTCCGTTTTGTGTTGAGGACACCAGAACTGCACACAATACTTCAAGTGCGGTCTCACGAGAGCAGAGTAGAGGGGCCAACCATTCTGGTTGTCTTGAGCATGTGAATGGCCCCTGCTATTGTAGTATCTGAGTGGCTGTCAATGTTTTAATGTAGTTACATTTGCAGCATCTCTCAGAGATAAAGCAGTGCTACTATCCTTATCTTATAGTCAGAACTAGGAAAATATTGTGATGACATCTACCATGATAAAAATCATGTGAGAAACTGAACCTCTTCTGAATAAAGATAGTAAAGCGTCTCTAAGAAACATTAAGAATTACAGCTACGCACTGGGCTTGACCCTTGCTTTCTGCTAAGACAAGTGTAGGCTGTTGTGTAAATAAGAAGGGACTTTTCTCTCTGATGTGCAGTGCAGTCTTGCACCCTGGCTAGATTGTATGTTTTCGCCTTGCAAGAGGCATTGTCAACAGCCATGGACCAGGTAGAGCTCCCAAGTGACCATTTGAATTGCGTAGTGCATACTGAAAAATAATAAGTAGCTATTAGCTGAAGCCAAGGATGGGTAACCTGTTCTATCATTAAGTGCTTTGTTGAGGAAACTGCATTATGCTGTAGTCACATGATCACTTAGTCCACTGTAAGTAGTTTTTGCCATACTAGTTGTCAGCAAACACTAACACTGGTGCTGGCATGTTGAGAGGCTAGGAACAAGCAGACAGGGATGGGGAGGCAGCAGGACTCCCTTCTCCATTGCAGTGTGCATCATTCCAAATGAAATAGTCTCTGTATTGAAGATCAAAGTCCACATACAGCCTTCACTGTTCTTATGTATCTTAATACTGTTTCAGGGTCTGATGGCCCTTGATTCTCCATATACTGGCATTGTGAATTACAAACAAGTGGCACAGTCCTATGCAGCAGACTTCCGGGAAGCAGGTGGGACGATCTTCACTGATTTTGAAGTTACAAACATGGAGATGGCTAAAGAAAGTTCTTCAGAAACTGCAGATGGTAAGGCAGGTTCTTTTCCTCCATTTACTACAATCCTGCCGAAGATTTTATTGAAAACACATTCGTTTTAACTGAAATGCCATTTCTGAACCTTTCTGTCTTGTGGTCATGAGACAAAATTAAAACTATGTTAGTGAGATTATTGAGGGAGCTCACTGTTTTGTTTTTTCTTCAGGCAGGTCACCCTTCAGCTGAAACATTTAAAGCTGGTGGAACAATATGATAGTAAAAGTGAGAAAGAAGGTTGTTATCTCCTATTAAAATCAGATTTAGCTGAATATTGCATTTATATTCTTGTAATAGTGCTTTTCTTTATCCTGGAAGGCAGGTTGGATCTGTGCTAATACACATATGGAAGAATAAAAAACCTGTGTTAATTCATACAGTTACGTCCAACATCAGTTATGTCCAACAGTGGTTGCTCATTAGCTTGAAGATATTCCAGTGGAAGAAACCTTCATCATGACAAGCTGCTTGTTCTGTCAGTTTTCTGTTATGTGTTTGATTAATTCCTTCTCTTGTCTAATTCTGTGACAGGACTGAAATACCCAGTCATTGTTCGGAACTCAAAGGTAAGAACAAAGCTGAAGATTTAATTGCTTTATTGGAAGCTTTAATTGCTTTATTTTTTTGCTGAGTCCTGGTGGATTATTCAGCTCTCTAGAAAAAGTTAAAAGATGCTGTTCAGTAACACGATCACTGTCATATAGGACTGCTTCTGTAAAGCAACTGTAGTCAATTCTTAATTGATTTAATTCTTGGGGGTCCAACGTAAGAAGTGTGTGGACATGTTGGAACAAGTCCAGAGGGGGACATGAAGATGCTCAGGGGAAAGGAGCACCTAATCTAAATCTCCCCTCTTTCAGTTTAAAGCCATTCCCCCTTGTCCTATCTCTACATGTCCTTGTAAAAAGTCTCTCCAGATTTCTTGTCAGCCCCTTTAGGTACTGAAAGCTGCCCTAAGGTCTCCCCAGAGCCTTGTCTTCTCCAGGCTGAATAACCCCAGCTCCCTCAGCCTGTCTCCATAGCAGAGGTGCAACAGGACTCCTTTCAACACGTTCAGATTCTTATTTTGGAGCCTCAGAGCTGGACGTAGTACTGCAGGTGGAGTCTCACAAGAGTGGAGCAAAGGGGGAGAATATTACAAATGAAAAATATATTTCTCCTTCCTTCTGAAAATGTTAGGTTTTCTTTCTGGCCTTGACTCATTTTCTTCCAAAACTTGTAGGTGATGGGTGGTTTTTTTAGTAGGTACTTTGAATTGTTGTGTGGTTTATGTTTTGTTTTGTTTTGCCCCAGGGTGAGGAAATCTACTGTCGGCACATTGTGACCTGTGCAGGACTTTACTCAGACCGCCTGTCTGAGATCAGTGGCTGCAGCCCTGAACCTCGTATTGTACCCTTCCGTGGAGATTATTTGGTGCTAAAACCAGAAAAGTCTTACATGGTTAAAGGAAATATCTATCCAGTACGTATTCCCTTGTTTATCTTTCCTGGTGTACTCTAAGAAATGCTAAAACTACAGAAATAAGGGCAGTATTTATGTTTATTTCTGTTAGACTGCAGACAGTGATGTGGGTGTACATTCAGTTGCTTTCTGACACTACAGCTTCTTTTTGTTGATTCTTGAGGAACAGGTAGAAGTACCATGAGGGAGACTATTGCCAGTCTTTTTTTTCTTTTTTGCTGTCGTTTGTGTTTTTGTTATGTTGGGGGTTTGTTGTTGTTATCTGGTTTGGGTTATTTAATAGCAAAAGAATGAAACATATACCATGATAGCCCCATGCCTACAAAAGCCTGGCGTTTTTCTGTTAAAATAAATCTGTAGACCGGATTCAGAAGTCAGTGAGGTACAACAGTAAATAACTAATTACTTAGACATAGGGTTTAATCTTGGGTGCTAATACCCAAAGCTCAGATTTAGGTATGTGCCTCTAAACATCATCTTTGAATTAGCTTTACTTTATATGACAAAAAATGGACACAGAAGGAAAAGGACAAGCTTTCTACCATTTAATATAGATAAACAGTGTGGTGAAGGGCATCAATCCCAGACAGAAAATGAAGTTGTCAAGCAAGAAGAGGGAATTTCTAGGGCAGCATTTTAGTTAACTCATGAAGTACATTGAAGTAATGCCTTTCAAATGTGAACTTAGATTTTCCTGCTAAAGACTGGAGCAGGTCACCCTAGAAAAATTGTGGAGCCCTGGGCATTGGGAGTTTGTCTGACTTCGTCTTACCTAGGAGTGATTGAAGATCCTGTCTTGAGATGCGAGAGAAGAACGGGTTGGGATATGAGGGTACCTTCCAGCCTTTTTCCATGGCTGTGTGAGGATAGCTTGTACCACTTGATGATTTTTGGGGGGTTTTCTGGTTTTTCTTTTATTATGGCCAAATAATGGTAACAAGATTAGAAAATTGCATGTTTCTTAGTAATATGTTACTCAAAATGTAATGTAGCTCGTGGAATGGTTGCAATGAGCTGCAAAAGTATTAAAAGCATATTTTAACAGAAAAATCAGTCACTGAATACAGAAAAGGAATATATCTTAAATCACTTTTCAATCATAACAGTATTGTTTTCTGAGAAATACCCAGTACTTGCTTATGTTCAGACTACAACACACTCACCTCTGTAGTCACCTCTTGTAAATAGGTAACGATCAGTGCAAGAGGAGGTGTGTTTATTTCATACCTGTATCTGCATAGTGACAGCTTATTTCTGCTTCAGCCTCTGCACACAAGTGCACTGTATTCTGTTTGCAAACAAACCCAAAACTCCATTATTAGCATTCATCAGGCTTGCTAATGGCATGTTGTTTTGAGCCATACAGAATGATGAGGTTTTCCTAATATTCTATAACCTATTTTATTGCAGTATAATTACTTCGGGTGAATAGCATTAGTGTGTTGTTGGTTTTGTTGTGGCTTGACTTATATCCTGAGAAATCGTGTACTTTTTTTTCCCGTTGTTTGTTTTGCAGTCTTACTTGGCCCTGCTCAGTTCTTTATTGGTTTAAATTAGTTACGTGCTATAACTGCACAATTACTGAGCAGAAAAACCTGCACAGGAGCCAGCTGTCTGATTCTGTAACTCGAATTTTCTTGTAGTGATTGGAAATAAAATAGCAAATTTACTTCTTTTTTCACTTTTTCATTTGAGAATAGTTATTTCCATTTATTGGGATGACAAGTCTTTTACTGTGTTTTGCTTTGTTTTATTCACTCTCTCACACATTAAACTGTAAATGTCTCTACTTTCCTCCTCACAAATGTTTTCCATGTTTCCTGGATGAGTTTGTTGACCTTAAGTGGCTGCATGGCTGTTCCTCTTACCTTGCTTTTAACAGCTGTAATAACTGTTGCATCTCGCTTTAGGTTCCCAATCCTCGGTTCCCTTTTCTGGGATTTCACTTCACACCAAGAATGGATGGCAGCGTGTGGCTTGGTCCTAATGCAGTATTAGCCTTTAAGAGAGAAGGCTACAAATTGCTTGACTTCAACACTGGAGACTTTTTAGATGCTGTATCGTACAGGTACTATCTTGTCTTTTTGTCTGCTGAACACAGTTATTTTCATGTCATTAGATGTCAGCTTGCGACTCCATGGAAGCTAGTTCTTGTCAAAAAACCTGCTTTTACCAAGCTTTTTGTGTTTTTAAAGACAGATGTGCTGATGAGGGCAGACTTCTTCAAGACACTTGACTTGATGTGATCTAATATTTTAATTTTCATAAATTACCAAGACATGTCTCAGCTGGTCTGAGAATGTGCCTGCTCATCAGAAGGTACTGGTCCGCCGTGTTGCTGCTATTAGAGCTCTTCCAGGATTGGTTTTTGTCCAATACAGTGTAATATTTTAATCAGCCTTGACAGCATGATTCAAACACTTGCAGAAGATGTTTGGAAGAGGAACACGGAGTGGTCTGAATTGCCATGTTGAACTTTATCAGACCATCAGTATACATTTAAAAAAGTCCAGATGCCAAGGAAATAATGTTAAGGGCCATGAATGGAGGCCAGGAAGCTGTCTTAGAAAGCATGTTAGAGAAACTGGGAATCATTGCCAAAACTGCAAACATAAATGAACAGAGTATCTCTGGAAGTTGAGACAAATTTTGCTTCTCTGTGAGAGGCTGAACAGACCATGACAAAGTGTTCAGTTTTTTAGAAATGAGACTTGAAAACGTAAATACTGGGGAGATCCAAGGAGAGGCTGAGCAACAGGTCAGAGAACTGCAAAGCGCCTTTCTGGCAAACAGCTCAACTTAATGCAGTTTATTAAAGAGTTCAAAGCATAGTGATTACTGTCTGTAGAATTTTATCCTGGAAGACTTGAGGAAGGCGAAGCAAGGAAACAAGATTTGCAAAGACACAGCAAGATTCATTGGCCCAAAACCGAAGAGTTTAGGAGTGTGGTGACCTTGTCAGAATGATTGTGGGAAAAAAGGGCTCAAGCAGTATGCCTTCCTTCAAGCACATGGGATTTCAGTCTCTTGCCATTTGACTGGACCAGAGAAAAATCCTGGGCATAGAAAGAACTGGAGTTCATAGTTAATTCTCAGAGAAAGAATGTAAAGGCAGTACACCTCTGTAAGCAAGGTCTGTTGAAGCAAGGAAGGACAAACGTGTATTTTTCAAGTAGAAAGAATGATGAGATTTCTGATGGTGGGAATGGGAGCTTTAGTCATGTAGTTGGATTTGATACCATCTTAGTGTTAGTTTGACGTGGCTGCATTCATTCTGGAAGATTTGTTCTTACTGCAGTAATTTTTTCTCTCTACAGTGGATTGTGGAAGCTTGTGCTGAGAAACATGTCTTATGGACTGAGTGAAATGTACAGAGCGTGTTTCCTGAGTGCACAGGTGAAGCAACTGCAGAAGTTCATCCCTGAGGTCACTGTCAATGATGTACTCAGGTAAAGAAAACTTTCCTTGTAAGATACACCCAGTGTTACTACATTGTTAAATCTCTTATTTTTTAACAGCAGCAAAGGTAGCATTAGCTTACTCCCTCCACCAAAATATGCTACCAAAGCATTGAAGTATTTCCATACTTTCCACAGGAAGGCCTTTTGTGTTTGCTTGTGTACAGGCAAGTTTGATGAATATGTGTGTGACTTTCTGCACCCTCCATAGGCTGAAATTCACAGTTGTGACATATTCACCAAAAAGCAAGACACTTTATCCTGGTGACACATTCAGTAGCCTGAACATAATCTGAGTTCACAAAGAAAGCAAAACACTGATGAAATTCAGAGAAGCCAGACTGAGTTGCTATTGGGTGAATACTGACTTAGTTTCATCATCTCAATAAAATGATATTCAGTTTCTTACTGTGTGGAGAGAGAAACTAATCCAGGGGAGTTATAAATGCTAAGGAACTGAAGAGACTTGTGAGGAAAGATGAGGCATTTTAAATACATAGGGGTGGATCTAACTGTCCAAACATTTGCAGGGATAATATCCAGAATATGAAAAGCTCAAGCATGGTAAAAGGGAGTTATCCAGCTCAGGCACTATACCACTGGTGTGAAATTCATGTTTGACAAGGCTTGCTATTTCAAAACAAAGGGAAGAGTTTCCATTTTGAAAAGACAGGGCATGTTTGTGTTTGTGGGGAGGAGAGTAACTTCACAACCAGGAAAGATACAGAAGAACGTCTGCTTGGCTACCTGCCCTCATTTTACAGTAATGACTGCAAGACATCTAGTCTGTGTTACAGGTGTTAAACTTCCTTGTGCTCCTTCAGAAGCCTCACTGGGCTTTGATTCCATGGTCTGCCTTTCTTATTGTTTGCCTGGGCATGTTTACAAGGTCATGATTGATTTCCTGACTTCAGAAAACATTTTCTTTCTAATGGTGAGCTCCTTCTTTATTTTGCAGGGGTCCGTCTGGAGTGAGAGCTCAAGCATTGGACAGTGATGGAAATTTGGTAGATGACTTTGTATTTGATGGAGGCAGTGGAGATCTTGGAAGCAGAATTCTTCATGTCAGAAATGCCCCTTCTCCTGCTGCTACCTCCTCCCTTGCCATCGCAAAAATGATTGCAGATGAAGTGAAGCGAAGGTTTGAATTGTGAATGATTGACAAGTGTACTGGGGTTCTACGCCTCTTGTATGCGTAGCATCTTGTCTGCATTGAATGAACTCCACAGCCTTTAATGACAAAGATAAAACAGGCAAAGTGCCACTTGCAAGACAGTGGTACAGCAAATGCAGTATTTGAAATGTTTGCCTTTGTCAGCCTGCAACTTCTCAGCTTCATGAATACAGGAGTTGTGGTGCCTGGTCAGGCCTGGTGTGGTACAGCTGTCTGCAGGAAAGAAACAAACAGCCCTGTTAGCACTAAAGGTTTGTTCACCTGAGCAGGAACAGCCTGTGGAGGGGCTGGTGCCACATGCAATGTGAGGGTCTCTTCAACTGTAGTGGGCCTTTAGGTGAAGCAGGAAGAGCCTCTGTGGTGGGGTTGCCCACATGGACTTCCCATTCCTCAGGTCTGAACACTGCCTTCTCGTTGCTCTCTGGAGAGGTGGTTGGTCTTCTGAAAAACCACAGGCATGGAGTGGTTCTCTGTGTGCTTTGACTTTGACTCCATTTAAATTGGAGTCTACAGTCCCCTAGCTTACATTAAATTAATGGAAATAGAAGGATAAGCCCTGCTTAAAGGTTCTGCTGATATAGAATTAAGGGCTTTATCAGAGACTGAGAACAATATTCAGAGCCTTCTACATGAACATAGAGTATTACGCAGTAAAATAAGCCTAACAAGGGATTACCAAATACAAGTCAATTTAGATACTCATCAGATATGCTATCTGATCACTGTCTGTATTTTTTTTATAAAGCTGAAATTAAAATGTATACATAAACAGTTTTTTTTTATTTAACTTAAATCTGGGAAGTCAGCACTGGTCAGAAACTACTTCTGTTTCTGATCAGTGAAAGATCAGAAACTTTGATCTTGGGGTTGGGTTTTTTTCCATTTGAATACAGGTAATGCAAAAGGAGCTTATCTTTGTGCAGCATGTTGAGCAATCCGGTGGAAATGGTCTTTGTAAAAGCAAATGTGAAGGGAGGGAAGCTACAGAAACCTGTCTTAATTGAGTCATGTTGCATACTGCTTCCTTTGGAGCCCAAACAGCAATGAGTCAGAAAGGCTCCCATTTTCCACATGCCTGGCAAGAGGGGAGTGTAGAAGGTGCTGGTTACTCTTCTGGGCTTTTACTGATACTTGCAGTTTTATCAAAGGTTCACCTGGAAGAGTCTTTGTGGAGACCGTGTTTAAACTCAGGAGAGACGTTCAGCAAGTTTGGTACTAAGCTAACTGAGTGTCTTGGCATGTTCTGCATAATTGCTACAAAAAAGAATTATGTGGCCCCAGGGACAAAGTACTTGAGAATACTTTTAAAGCAGATATTCACAGGATGTTGGGTAACACAGATAATTGTGGGCAGTTTGCTACCAGGCAATTTGTCTACTGGGTTTTTTTAAGTTCTTTTCTGTAGTGCTCTGGTAGGCAGGAGGGAGTGTGTTAGCACAGTAGCTCAGGTGTGCTAGCTGATGTTTTTACTGTACAGAGCTGAGCCGCTTTTGAGAAGAAAGGGCTTAACGTATCTTTATTTAACTTTATTTTTTCTTGGTGACATCTACTTTACAAGAAAAGTGACTCCTGTATAAGGACAACCTGGAAATTCAAGTAATAAGCCCTTCAAAGAAAGCTTTGGACATTATTCTTGGCCACACCACTAGACAGATTCAGATATTCCGAATGCTAAAATGCCATACGGCTGTGTAAAAGTTGTCTTCACAATGGAACAATCATATCTTCACTCCCCACCAGAAGGGTTGCCTATCAACAGTAAATACTACAAAAGGATTGCAAAAGCAACTTCCTCCCACACGAGGTGTGGCCCTAACATGTATTAACAGAATAAAGAACATTAAAATGTAAAGCAGTCATATACTGTGGTGAATCGTAAGTCAGCACATTTAACTGTGCTTTTTTAACTCTCAGGAGATGATTATTTTGGCACAGGGTTTAACTGAAGCTTTTAAATTATGAATCTTTATGTAGTGTTCTGTGAAATGTTTAAATACCTGGAGATAAAGTTATGAACTTTTTTTAAAGGAATAACTTCAGAGAGTTATGATAATTGAGTTTCAAACATAAACTTTGCCCACAAAGTGTGAACACAATGTGTTTTCCAGAGGGGTCTAATTCACTTGAATGAAGCCACTGCACCTTTCTCTATATGATTAAAATAATGGTTTGGGTTGTTGTTTTTTTTTATAGTTGCTGTGAAGTCTGTGTATTTCTTCTGATTTACAGAAAAGTTTCTTTGATAACTTGCTAATCCTCACCTGAATTAGGTACAATATAGCTCTATATAATAGGAATTACTTTATTTGGGGGGAAACATATGGCCAAACTTGTCTTCCTAAAGTGCCTGTATCTTGTATACGCTTATCACACTTCACAGCATTTTCTGACACCAGTATGTATGTAGCAGACAGAATGAGTCTTAAGCCTGACCTGGACCTGTAGTGGCACATAGAATGGTAATTTTTGAAATTCTGAATAAATGCATCAGGACAGCTTTGGACAAACACAGTTTATGCCACAAAAGTGTCCCCATATGGTCAGTCCTAACCTGGGAGCAGAGTATGGCATATTGGATCATTTTAAAAATGCTGCAAAGAAATGACGTAGTGGCCCATGTCACTGCATACTGGGTGGCTGCTCTTGGGAAAAGTAGCTCCTTTATGGCCTGTGTTGTGTCCAGTCACCACTGCCACACCTCAGAGTAGTTCAGACTGTCTGGAGAACAGAGAAATGTCACATCCTGAAGAACAGGGCCATCGGGGGGCTGTGAAGGTGGGGATAGAGCACTAGGTGAGGGGCTCACCCAACCTGCAACATCTGCTTCCAGGCTGGGCATCCTGGGTGCCAGAACTGCAGGTTTGGAGATCTCACTGTTACCCTGAAGCAGCATTTGGGATTAGCTGTTTTCTTTCTGCTCAAGGTTTGGGTTTGATGAAAAAGCATCTTCCCACAGAAATACTGCATTGGAAACCTCCAAGACTGCCATGATGTGTTGGGAAGGTTAATACTACAGAGCAACAGGAGCTGCTGCTGCCTCTGCAAGGACCTTTCTCCTCCGAGAAATCTGCCATAACAAAGAATCACAATCCTCATGGTAGAAAGGCGCTTATTTTTCCTCATTTAATTTATCCACTCCCTTTGTAGACCAGTCTTGCAAGGCAGGGGGTGGGGAATGTCTATAAGGAGTGAGATTTGATTACAGTGCCATCAGAGGGGAAATGAATCATAGAATCCCAGAATGGTTTGAGTTGGAAGGGACATTAAAGATCATCCAGTTCCAACTCCTTGCCACAGGCAGGGACACCTTGCACTAGACCAGGTTGTTCCAACATTTGCAGGGATGGGGCAGCCACAGCTCCTCTGGGCAACCTGTGCCAGTACCTCACCAGCCTCAGGGTGAAGAACTTTATCCCTTTCTTCCTAATAGCTAATCTAAATCTAGCATCTGTCAGTTTAAAGCCATCCCATCTTGTCCCTTTCCTACAGGCCCATGTCAAAAGTGTTGGGGTCCGAGTGCTGAACACAGGACTGCAGGTGGGGTCTCACCAGAGCAGAGTAGGGGGAAGAATCACCTCCCTTGGCCTGCTGGTCACGCTGCTTTTGATGCAGCCCAGAGCTCGGTTGGCTTTCTGGGAGGCAAGTGCACACTGCTCGAGTCATGTTGAGCTTCTTGTCAACCAACACCCCCACGTCCTTCTCCTCAAGGGTGCTCTAAATCCAGTGCTTGGCACTGCTCAAAACTTGCAGGACCTTGCAATTGGCCTTGTTGAACCTCATGAGGCTGGCACTGTCCCACCTCTCCAGCCTCCACAGGTCCCTCCGGATAGCATCCCTTCCCTTCAGTGTGTCAACCACACCACACAGCTTGGTGTCATTGTCAGACTTCCTGAGTGTGCACTTGATCCCACTGTCCATGTCAGTGACATGATGTTAAATAGCACTGGTCCCAAAACCAGCCCCTGAGGGAAAGTGCGGCTGGGGGTGGAAGGAACAGCAACAATCGGTGTTCTGCAGGGTGCAGAAGAAAACTGCTTCGGGGTAGGGATAAAACCAGCCTTGAGGTGGAGACGCTGGTGCCGGGAGCTCATTCAGCACTGCCGCTGCTGCGGTCCCTTCTCCCAGGACGGTGGTTCTGGTTGAGCCTTCCACAGGGTGAGGCTGTTTCCAGTAAGGCGAAGGGAAGGGAAGGATGGAGCTGGAGGTCCTGCAGAGCCAGTGGCAGGAGCAGGCTGAGGGTGCGGCAGCCCTTGCAGCCTCGCACGCTGGAGAGGGAAACGCTGGGGGAGGGTCGTGTCCAGCAACAAGCGGCCACCCGAGAGCTCAGCGTCGTGGCGCGGGGCCGGAGCTCTGCCCCACTCCGCGTCCATGACCGGACTCGGCCGTGCCCCTGCGGGGCTGCAGCGCTGGACCCCCCCTGGCGGCACGGCCAGCAGGGGGCGCCGCGGTAGTGGGTGGGGGAGGGCAGAATGGTGGCGGCGCGCATGCGCGCGGAGGGCGCCGGCGGTAGCGGGGCCGCAGCGAGCGGGGCCGAGGCGCCTCACCCGCCGCCCCGTCAGCGCACGGCGGGAGGCGCGGAGCCCGGCCCCTCCCGCGCCGGATGTGATGGCCGCCGGGGCGGGGGGGTGAGCAGGGAGCCTGCGGCGGCCGAGAGCCCAGCGCGGCCCGGCCCAGCCCTGACGAGCACCAGCGGCGGCTTCTCCTTCCCCTCGGCTCCCCCACCGCGTTGTCTCCCCTCTTTCTCCCCCCATGTCCCGGTCGCTGTAGCCGGCGGGGAGCGGCGAGGCGGGCGGCCCCGATGCGGAGGAGCCGCCGGTGGGCGCCATGCAGCCGCCGCCGCAGCCGTACGAGTTCTTCGGCGAGGAGAACGGCCCGAAATGGCGGGGGCTCTTCGTGCCCGCCCTGCGCAAGGTCAGTCCGCCGCCGGCGGAGGCCTGGGGTGGTAGCAGACGGCACCTGCGCCTCACGCCGCGCTGCGGCCCCCGGCCCCGGGAGCGCCCCTTCCCCGCCCCTCTGCCGGCCTCTGGGGCCGCTCCGCAGTAGGGGCAGTGCTTGTCCCGCCGCACTGGCTGTTGTCGGACGCGTAGCTCCGGTGCAGATGCCCATGACCCCGGCAGCCCTCTCTGACAGAGCAGGGACGTCTGGACCTTTGCTTGTACAGTGCCCGTGCCCTTCCCGGCTCCTCTGTCCTGCTCCTTCGCACCGTGTGCTCGCCCGTCCAGGCAGCCCGGCGTCGGCGAGCAGAGATTGAGAGGGGACCCCGGCGGTTCTCCTGCTTGCCCCCGCTTAGGAGGGGTCGTCCGCGGCAGAGTCACCCGCAGGAGGGTGCCCATGCTCTTATCTTGCCTCCGGTGCTTCTTTGTGTGAAGATGCTGCCCGGTGGCAATGTGTGCCGAGCAGCTCTGCTCCTGTCACAAGCTGCTGCTTCTCCTCCTTAAGTAGCACTTGCTGAAAGTGCCGTCTGTGCCTTCTCAATGGGGCCGCTGGCTTTGAGGTGGCTCGTACTACTGATTTGCCTTTGGGATGTGCTGTTGGAAGGGCAACCTTCCATCCGTGGCATTTCTCCAGACAGCTATTCCATGCCCTTTCCTGGACCACGCTCCCTTGCTGACCACCCAGCGGAGATGCTGCTCATATGCTGCCCGTTGCAATGCTAGCCTGTTGATTAAACAGCTGTGGCGGAGGGTAAAGACAGCCAGTGTTTTATTACGAAACAACGGCGTGCTGTATAAGTGAGATAAAACGTGTGGGAAACTGCTTAGCCTGTCATGGGAAAAGGATTTATCTTTTTATGGTGTTTTTTCACAGCAGGGTAGTGCCCAACACATCACCCGTTAGGTAGGACACCCCCAATAGTGGAGGGAGTGGGTTAAATTGAGGCTGGTGGGATCTGGAGGGGGTGATGATGTTCTGCCTTGTGTCATTTGCTTGTTACCATTGCAAGGGATAAGGACTGTTATACAGTTCTTAACATGATGGCCTGCTGATCTGGATCTCTGGTGCTGGGCAGCACTGCCATACACGTAATGCAGGCACTCATGTGAGTGGTGGTTTGTCATCTTTGGTGTTTTTTTTTCTCTAAGAATAGATTTAGGGGTGGTGTGGGGTAATTATTCTTTTTACATTATGTAAAAAGGAGAATCAAAGATTTGCATTTGTTTTGGGCCCCGTATCACTTGTATTAAAAGCCACTGAAGGCAGCTAAGTAGTCTTGTGGCTGGCGTAGAACCAACTAATGGTCTGTCTGAAGAATCCTGGGCTTTCTGCTGTTTGAATCTCTTCTTCCTTGTAGTAGTTGCTTTCCAGTGTGTCTTGGGAAGCTTAGGGAATGCCATTCCTAAAGTTGCTTCTTTCCCAGTCACTGGAGCTTGACACCAGCTAGCATCCCTACAAATGTGAGGTGTAGCTGTATCAGTTTAACTAAAAGAATTTCTGTAAAACTCAAGGCGGTTTTATAATTCTGAAATACAAATAGCATAAAAGTTGCTAGATTAGGGCTGCTGAAGAGAAACTTAGCAGGAACTTAGACTTTCTAAACCAGAGGTAATGAAGTCTTGATATAAGGATGCTGGAGAGGGACTCTTCATTAGGAACTGTAGTGGTAGGACAAGGGGTAACGGGTTAAAACTTAAACAGGGGAAGTTTAAATTAGATTTTATAGGAAGAAGTTCTTTACTGTGAGGGTGGTGAAGCACTGGAATGGGTTGCTCAAGGAAGTTGTAAATGCCCCATCCCTGGGTTTGCTCAAGGCCAGGCTGGACAGAGCCTTGAGCGACATGGTTTACATGGCAGGGGGGTTGGAACTTGATTGATGATCTTAAGGTCCTTTCCAACCTGAACTATTCTGTGATT